CGGGGAAGACGTCTTGGAACCTCTACGTTTCTCCTTTCGCTGGATACGTCTGGCTCGCCATGGTTCTCCTCACAATGGTGTTCATCGTCTGCTGGAACCTAGTGGTGGAGTCCGTGAGACCGGGGGGGATCTCCTGTCCCCATGGATTTTGGCTAGCCCTGTCCTTCCTTCTGAACCAGCCCGGTAATGCAGTGGTTAACTTGCTTTTATTGCAGGGCATACTAAAGAAAAATAAATCAAAACTGTGCAATTGATTTAGAGTCCCTTTGTAGGAATGGTTGATATAGCGCTAAGCTCCTTACCCACATTTTTTCTATTCAATGCTCAAGCAACTAAAAAAAAGAAAGTCTAAAAAAAGTATTATCTTTTTTAATTCTTCTTTCAAAATGGAATTCTTCACCAGTTTTGAACAGCACACAATATTTCAGAATTGCACATATTGTTTACAAATATCTATTACAAATACAAATATTACCCACTTCGTGGGTAACCACTAACGCTTTCAAGGAACTAGATGTTGAATAAGAATTAGTTGACCATGACTATAATATATCATCCATTCCTGTCAAGGCCATGAACTTTTCAGTCGTGTTGCGAGGAAACGTATACTTAGATGGAAATGACGTTGTACGAGCTGAATACGTCTTCATGTGTAATTCAAAAGAACATCGATTCTGGAATAACTTGAGAACCACAACTCACGCTTTATAAATGGCAGCTGTGAGAATGGGCAGCATAAGATAAGCCACTCTTCACATGCAGAGGATGACTCATGAAAGTCAAACCATTTGTGACCGCATGTCTTTTCCAATCGTAATAACATATGCATTTCATGCAAATGTAGTGCAACACTTTCTTGTTCCATTAAAAAGAATGAGACACAAACCATTCGCACCGTCCAGAGGCATTTAATGCTAACGAAACCATTGCGAAATTTCGTATTCCCAAGCATACATTTTTCACGTTGTTCCTATAAGTTTCCAACATCGTGTGCATTCCTCGGGCTGTGCGATGTTTTCCAAAAGTCGGTAATTTGCTACTACCAATACTTTGCAATTCTTGGATGCATTCGAAAGATTGTCATATGATGGATATTTCTAAGAAGCAGTAATATAAATGGACAGGTATCATCTACTTTTAGCTATTTACGTACAAAGGGATCTTTATGACATGCTTTCCCGAATTTCCCTGCAAATTATTTTCGTAATAACGAAGAAACAATTTTTAGCCCGTCGGAAAGCTTTACTTCATCCATACCATTCGATCTCATCAGGAATTCCAACTCATATCTTCTTTAGCGACAACTTTTCAAAACATTAATGGTTTGCTTTCTGTGTGACAATTCCGTGTTTCACTCATTTAGAGATTTTCTCATCTTAGAGAGATTCTTTTCGCAGAGTCACCGAGGGATTTTCAACGAAGAGCCTTCCGGATCCTCGCGGCGACGTGGAGCATTCTCACCTTCCTCATCCTTTCCTTCTATTCCGCCGTTCTCATGTCGTATTTTTCTGTGGAGAAGATCCAGCTGCCCTTTGAAACTTTGAGGGAACTGGTGGATCTGAAGCAACAGGGCTGGACGTGGAGTTTCGTCAGAGGGGGAGGCACTGAGAACTATCTCAAGGTCAGACTTCTCATTCACTCGAACCCAAAGTAGGCATTTTCATCGATAATAGTTGGATGCTTCACATCGACATTTTCTCCGGGAATATCTATCTTGTAACACGCTTTTTGAATTTCATGCTGAGTCGCGACAGTGGGAATTGTCATGCTTCTTCTATATTCAGAACTCGAAGGAAGAAGACATTCAACTTTTCTACAACGGTGGCTCGTTCCCTGCAGGGGATTCAAGGTTTTTTCTTACAAAGCCAGCCCCGCAACTCAATGAAACCCACGCACTCATGATTGGGAGATGGGACTTGAACGTGAGGATGTCATCTTCCCTCCATCCTCGTAATATTCCAGCAATCACTCATGAAGCCTTTCCATCGCCGATAGATGTATATGTCATGGTTGACGGAGGCAGAACGAGAACAGATCCACCGCACTCCCGCCATACTCTTCAATGATGCCTTGGGATTGCTGGTTTCTCGCAATCTCCATCTGGTCAAAATCCTTAATCGAGAGTGAGTTTCACATTCTGTTCATCAACGTCTTCTTCTCATGCCGCACGACTCTCCCACTTTCCACAGTATACACTTCTTCCGTTGTATTCCCCTCATCCGTTCCTTCATCCCTTGCTAGCAAATTCAATGCAAAGACTTTCGTTCCAAGTTAAAGGTATATATTTTGGGTCTGAATTTGAAATCATTGAAGAACCAGATCATCCAAGTGCATATCGAGAATTAGTTCTCACTCTCTTAGTCATGTCTGAGTCTCGGTGTTAGGAAAAACACTTTCATGTGAGACAGAACATCGAGAAGGGAAAGGGAATTTGGAGAAATAGAAAATAATAGAAACTGGAAGAGATGAACGGATGGAATAGCCAGATAAAAGAATTCAATATAATCTTTTGCGAATCATCAGGATTCTCCGAATAAAGGAGGCTGGGATAGGACAGAAGCTGGTGAAGGAAGTGGACGAGATGTTCCAAGTCAAGCAGCAGAGGAGGGACATGACAGGTGGCATCGCGGCAGACTGGGCGAGAACCCGACTGGCCTTCCTCATCCTTGGCATCGGCTGTCTCGCAAGCCTCCTCTCCCTTTCTCTGGAAATCCTCTGCGACCGGATGTGGGGCAGATGAGACCGACATCTAGAATTCAATGGAATTGAAGATGTTGCGTGGGCTGCCAAGCAGCCAATCATTCCTCCTTCTTTGATTGCGAGATGGTTCAGTGATATCATTAGTGCAAATTAGTGGAATCTCCTGATCGTAATGACACAATGTTGTGATTTGCTGGGATTGTATTCTGAGCATCATTTTTTCTCCTTGGACTCTGTTCCATATTATTCCAAAATATAATCTTCCCATATGTGTCATGAGGAATACTTTCCATCAGGCAAAAAGAGTACCTTTTCGAATTATTAGATAGGACTGAAATATGAAATCGAAATTTGAAATGTCAACAGTATATCTGGGAATCTATTAAATTTTCGGAACTTGATGAAGATACACCTAATATCGCGTTCTTCCATTACAGACGCAGCGAGCACAAACATTTAAATTTTAGTCTCAGTGCACAATGGGCCCAGAACGGTAGTTACTGAGTTATCCCATTGGAATAATATGACATCCATGTTTTGTCATGCACACCACAAGATACTGGAATACACGTGGGATTTCCCAAGTGGCCCTCTTCATACGAGCAGACGACGTACAGGAATGATATTTTAACACGATCCCCTTCGAAATAGTTCCCTGGATGTGTGATACCCTTCTCCCAACGTTTGTAAAGGGCTTAGAACACTGGCTGCAACCCATTCTTGTCGACCCCCTTCGACGCGTCGGTCGCAGCCGACTGGCCACGAGCCGTCGAAGCGGCGGCCTCTCAAAAAGGAACATCGAGGAAAGGCGCGAAGTCGCGAGGCCCGGCGATCGGCTCCACTGCGCTGCCATAGCAGTGGATCGTACCGTACCGAGTAGATTTTCGATGGCTGTCCGTCATCGACGGATTTCCGCCCTGATTCTCGCGTGTGTGATTTGCGATTTCGCGACGGTATTCGCTAGGAGCTGCCTGAAGAAACAGGAGGTTCTGTTTCTGGGACTCTTCGCGTATGAAACGTCTAATTTCTTCGACCTTCGCGGTGAGAGCACGGGTAAAAGCAAATTAACGGAAGAAGTGAAATGAGCACCTCGAGTTTAGTCTTGCATTTTGATCATGCATTTGCACGCATTGCACTTTCCCTGGTATTTCATGGATTGAATCGCGCTTAACAGGACGGGGCGCGGGGGCAGGGAGGGGGGTGGGGGACTAATTCAAAGTCAGCATATGGGCGGAAGTGCCTAATGGAGGCCAGGAATATGAAGTACTCCGCCCACCAATCAAATTATGAAGTTTCTTTGGAATATTCGGAAGGGTGATCGGACCTGGAACCACCTAAGTTCTGCGTCATGTCCCAAGGTCGGTCCTCTGTGCTTTAAGGGTATCAACTAAGTTATCTTTGCCAAGCGTTGCCGGGCTTGGTTTGTGGCTTTTGCTCGAGGAAAGGGGAATTGTGCAGGAAACGAACAGAAAAGTCGGCCTATATTTTCCTGCAGATTATTTTCTTGCATGAATTGACTAATTCGTGTAGACGGTATCCATCTTTATGATAGAAAAACTGATCGATGACTGATATTGATTCCTTTCAACGGTAATGGCCACTCGGGTCCTCATGCGTTCCGTTTTGGTCGATGGTAAGCAGAGGTCGGGACAGGAATGAGACTGACGGGTAACTTTTCCATCAAGGACGCACCCACGAATCTATAAAGGCTGATTTACGAGGGATTCAGTGTTCCCAGGCCATTAAAAAGCTGCTGGGCATATGATTGTGAGTGGAGGAAAAACGACAAAGAACCCTTTTGGCCGTGTGCAGGAGCCACCGAATTAAAGATATTGGAATAGTATAGAAGTTGGTGAAGAAAGTGGACGTGAAGTAATTCATTCTTCTCTCTTCACTTGTAAGATAGCGTCAGAATTGGTGTGATCTACTGGAAGCTCTTAAATTTGAATATTAACGGCACTTTTCGACCCTAGACCTTCTAGGTTTCTTTTTTTTTACCCATATGGGATTTAGCATATTCCCTGAATATTTATTTGCAACAGTTCTTTCGATTGGTAAGGCTGAATTGAAGAGTGAATTGCATTAATGTGATTACAGAAACATGAAATTCATAACTGCATCGGAAAAGGACTACTCCTCCCAGGACAACTAACATTACAATAACCCATGGTGTCATCCCTCATTGGTCGTGATAATGTTGAAGCTTCATAAGTGAAAAAAAAAAAGTTATTTCCCCCAATCTCACGAGTACGAAATTTCAGTTTCTTCATGTTATATTGAAAATAGAGAAATTCATGCCAATTTTTTTTTCTCCCAAATGTGAGTCTGGCAGACAGCACTTTATAGGTTCAACAAAATCATGCCCAACTTCCAAACCACCATAACTTCCACAATCAGGTCATGATCTTCAAATTGAAGATGTAACACAATAAATGGCAACTTGGATAGGTCTTTAATCATGAATGAAGGAAAATGACTTCCTCTTGGACATCTTTGGTACACATGACAGAAACCCTTGCTCTATAAAGTAAGTTTTATCGTCCCACCTAACAATTATGCATATTTCCCTAAGAAAGGTGGGTGAAAATACATCACATAGCCAGAAGGTGCATTGCACTCATTGTGCCTGAACCTACTTCAATTCACAATAAAAGAACAAAAACATTTTTTAAAAAAAACCATAAGAACGTCTAATGGGTATCCATTGTGGTTCCACACTGGAAAGGATGGCAGGAATGTTTTTGGTTTCAGGGGTCACAGGATCTTGAGAAAATCAAAGTATGACTGATCAGGAACTCCCACACCTTTTCTTATATGCTGGATTCATTGGCTCACCCCTGGCCATCTGAGGACTAAAAGTACTCCTTGGCACACTCCTTGCTCATTAACCACACACCTCCAATCTACTCTGCACTCAGACTGTCTGTGTAGAGGAATGGACCAAAGAAATGATCCTTCTCCTGATGAAGATACCTGTTACAAAGGACAAGAAACAAGTATTATAGATGAAATGTAGAGATCTCTGAGGCTTCAAGCCTCATACATGCTGCTCAGGGAATTGAGTTCAAGTTGGCATTTTCCCATACATTTGTGCCAAAACATAAAGCTTTCAACAGCTGTTTTAACTGGTACATCTCATGCACTGATTAGACATGGCATTAATAGCAAAAAAATTATCCAGCTCCTTGCAGGGGCATTTCCTATCTCTGCTTCAAAAGATCAGTTGCCTGGGGTCTTAAAATAACAGGAATCTCAGAAGTGTTGCTGATTTTTTTTTTTTCATTTAAATTTTTGACAGCTCTTAGGCAATGTTGGCAGTACTTAGAAGCTCCTTGCTCTTGGCTAATCCTTTATGAAGGCCTATAAATTTCATAACTCAGGAATGCCTTCAATGGGACCTGAGTATGCAACCTAGCTAGATGCAAAGCCAAGCAATGGTGAAGTCAAGTAAAGCCTGACTCTTTGCCTATGAAGGAATAGCAATTCTCATTATAACTCACTTGAGAAATTCCTTCAGATGCTGAATCACATATGGCTGCCTCCGTCGGTCCAGCACGGTCTGCCCAAGAATATCAGGAAGCTTCACTGGAAGATTTACAGCATTTATATAGATGAAATCATTTCTTAAACATAAAACATAGTAGAATGTTCTTATTTCCTTGCCCATGTTTGCCTTTAGAATTTGTAATTTATTTTCTGTATTTGTAATTGAAGGCTAATGAAAAGTTACTACAGCTTTAGCAAACTGAGAATTGATCATTTGAGGTATCATTGCTTTCAAAAACATGCATATTCAGCATTTTGGTGGAAAGATCTCCAACAAGAAACAAAGCAAAATATGGTCAGTAGAATCTATTGTCAGTGGAAGTTCCATCAATGGACAAATTTTCCTTAAAATTGGAGGAAAGACATGTTGAAGCAACAGAAAAAAGCAGGTTTCAGTTGTAGTTCTTTCCTCTACAGAGTATTTTCTACAAGTAAATTTTAATCCTTTCCCAGGGGCTGATCAGTGGCACTTCTTTGAGGGGGGGGGGAGAATGGATTTTATTCTTCCACAGAATGGAGGCCTAAGGACTTCAGGAAAAGTCTAAATGTCCACCTTCAGTGCAGCCCACAGCAATAAATTAACATAGGAAAAAATCTCTCTGATAGAATGATGCAATTCATGTCAGTCTGTTACTAGCTCAGCCAAGTCCCACAGAAAACTAAAATGCTTCTGCTTTTGCGGCTAAAATGCTTTTTCTCTTCTTTCCTTCTAGTTATAAATATTGATCTGAATTATTTCCTTTAACACCTATTCCTATCACATATGCTGCAATTCAATTTCTAGCATGAATTTCAATAGCAAGTAATCCATTTTCTGCCTTAAGTGATGAAATTATGAATAAATGCAGAAACTTAAATATAGGATGCCAAAAGTGATCTTTAAATATGCCAAACCTGCTGAATATACACTGAAAATTCTTCAGTGATGGCGACTTTCAAAGGTGCAAAGCCCACTTTTGCATTCCATTTTGGAACACAGGAAATGCATCAAAAATGAATGACAGACCATGTGGTAACAGGCTTCTAAGGGACATGTAACACAAACTTGAAGATTGAACTACACATTTTCCAACAGATGACTGCTTCCCAAATATACACAGGGTTAAAGGCAAAAGTATCTCCATGTTATGCCACTATAGATTCTATCTAAAGCAATATAGCAAAGCAAAATGAAGGCAAAAGTGAAAAGGAAATAAATCTAGTGCCAACAACAAAATGTGCAAATAGGAATGGAGTCCTCTCATTGAGGGGAATGCTGAACATACAAGCTGGAGTATAGTTTTTAGAATCATGTACAAATGGCAAGAAACCAAAGGCTCCTTTCAAAGCTTCTAGCTTATTCAAGACACATCACTCTGGTTAGGAGTTCAATTTTCATTCTATGTTACAATACAGCAGAAATATAAGAGGGAACAAGAAATCCAGTTTGAGTTGATTGAACCAGCACATGTGTTTCCCACTATGGTATGGTATTATTAAGCAACTGGCTGTCCAGCAGCCAAGTCAATATTGTAGCTAAGCCAGAGTGTAATCAGAATTCACTGGAAGTCTCTTCCCTCCAGTCTGGGAGACACTTAATGAGAAATATAATCCAGATTCAACTTCCCATCAGTCCACTTTTAAATATTCTACCACAAGACATGGAATAGGGATGGTGACAACTTTCAACAAACCCATCAAACGGAGGAGGTGGACAGGGCCATAAATGAGTGATGGGTTCACAGGCACTTCTTTATAATATGCAGGAGAAGCAACTTCAGTTGGGAGGATGAGTTTCTTCTCTCCACTGCCAAGAAATAAAAAGAAAGGGAATCCAGCCACAGGAATGCAAATGCTTTCTGTAAAGCCATAAACACTAATGACTAACCTGGAAAAAATTCATATTCAGAAATATTTGAGATTGAGATATGGCCTCATATTTGAAGCAAAATTTTTACATCATCTCACATTCTACAAAACCCCAGGACTGCAGTTTCCACCATACCCTCTGGGGTATACTTTTATAAGTATGGTGTATGCACCATACTTTCTTCTGGACCACTAAGATTTATCGAGACTCTAAATGTACAAATAGGGCACAACCTGACTGTGTAGTGAAGAAACAGTGGAAGGCTTCATGAAGTGATTTGAAACCCCTCATCACAGTGGGCAATGCCCGATTGTGGCTGAGAACCTCTAATTGGTTTTGTAGGTCATTAATTTTGTAAAAACTTTCTGGTAACAAAATCTTGTTTTATTAGAAAGACATTTGCATCAGAATATGCTTTCAATCTCCTGCCTCTCATAAAATTCCCAACAGTTTTCAGCATGATAAAATTGTCAGGTTGCAGTAGTCCAGGAGTCACATTCATCAGTCTAAAGTACTTCTTTCCCACAGCATAGTGCATAGCAAGGCATTGTTGAGACTTTGGCCAATTCAACCGCATGGAATAAGTTCTGCCAAGCACTTAGCACAATGCTTAGAAAAAAGACTTTAACTTAATGTAAGCCATGTGCTCATGTGCACTCTGTGCAGATAGCATATGCACAGTGATAGGCAGTAATAGAAAGTAAGTAACATCATGCTATATAAAATGAGACATTTTCATAATTTTGGTAAGGTCAAGTGGGAACAACTGCTCAGGAACTCCCCTGATCTGGTTGCAATAGTTAAGTTCTGATGATTTCTGAATTGCTTGGACAAGAACATGCATCTGAGTGCTGTAACCACAGAGTGTTTGAGTTCATCAATGGTATGTGGATGTGTGGAACACATCTTTGTCTTTCAGGAATACCCATGAAGAAAACCTGACGATTTAAGATCAAGGAGATCTCTCTAGCCATGGGATGTCCCTCTTATACTGATAATGCTCTCTCTTCAAACTCCAAACTGAACAATCTTCTTAATCATTGGATTTGATGGGGTTGTTTTATCAGGAAATCATCATCTATCAGGTTGTAAAGGTGAAATTTAGACATTTTCCAGAAAACAATTTATTGACAATTAACTCAACGACTAGAGTGCAGTCTTGCGTCAATGTATCTGTTGTAGGTTCACGATAAGCACTCATGCCCACAATGCCCACTGGTCACTCTACTTATACACCTACATAGAAAGTTCTAACATTTTCCAGATTTTTCAAGAAAAAATCAAAATGTCTAAATTTCACCTTTACAACCTGATACATTCTCTTTTCACAGTAACAGGTGAGTGCATTTCAATAAATTTCTACACAATGAACACTATTTGCTCTAATTTTTTTCCCCCAATAAAACACCTTCATCAAATCCACTGATTAAGATCGTTCGGTTTGGAGTTTGAAGAGAAAGTGTTATCAATATAAAAGGGGACATCCCATGGCTAGCAAGATCTCCTGATCCTAGACTGCTACATTTTTTAAATGGGGTTTCCTTAAAGAAAAGGTATTCTCCAAAAATCCACACACCACTGATGGACTCTATTCTAGCCATTCTATGGTGTTATGCTCAAAGGCATAATGCAAGAGACACTGAACAATGTTACCGAATAAAGTGCTGTATGTTACAGAGGGATTATTCAATTGAATGTTTAACACTTTGAACATATTTTTTAACAAGAATATATTTTTGAGTTTGCATATCATATGATATGTAATTCAATATTCTACCTTAATAATTAATTAAAATATAGGTAAAAGACCACCCTGTATTAGAATCTGAGCCCAAGACCAAAAGGCTTTACTCTTGCTTCCTACAGGAATGAGCAGTTTCTGTACAGAGAAGAGACAGACCCAACACTGCATATGCACAGATATGACTGTTTTGAAGGAACAAATTCAACACATATTATTCCTATCGTACATTTACAATTGAATTCCCATATCAATCTACCCATGTAGGATTTCGCTTTGAACATATTTGGTTTTAAACACAGTTGTGGGAGACACTGAAGGATTAAGAAGTGGGAAGCAAATCTTCACTTCAAAGTAGGAATATAAGATTTACTAACACAGAAGAAACTGGGCACAAAATGCACAAATACTGATGCCCATTAGGACTCCCGAAATTCTAATAAATGTAACCATAACATATTTTGTTTTGAAAGGGACCAACATGAGGAAGGCCCACTCACATCTGATGACCCTGTCTATGTTGGTGATGATGATGATGGTGGTGATGCTGATGCTGATTATGTTGGTGCTGCTGTTGGGGATGTTGATCTTGCTGATGATCCTGATTTGATTCATTTGAATCTTTGGGAGGGGGCGAATGAAGTGCACGTCTCCGCAACACCCTCTCATCTTTTGGACTTTTCTTAACATTTGATCCTTCATCTGCCACTGGATAGGAATGCCATTTTTAGAAGAAAAAAAAGCCATGCGCTTCAAGATTCTCATCCTATCTCACTCCCATTTTATTAATACCAAATGACTAGCCATTTGGAAACATTGAATGATCTCTATCACTGCCATAAATAAGTAATCAATTCATGTGCTTTTCTTTTAACCATAACACAGCTGAAGATTGTGGTGCTACAGTGTAGAATATGACTTAAATGATGTAACACTAACCAGAAGTGGGACTCATCCGCCGCTTCCGTAGTCGGGTCTGCAATGTTTCGCTGGTCTCGGCCTTCTCAGATACTCTGAAATGATACAACTGAATTCTTATCTGGGACTAAATCTGACTGAGCAAGGCATCCCATTGAAAATATCACAGACACCAAATGCATATTCAGCCCATAAGCTTTATAAGGCACATGGAACCAGCAGCGGTTGGATCACAACCAGTCACTACTCATAAAAAAGACGATTGGATAGTTGCTTGGATTCCTCTGAATCATGAAGAACACCAAACACATTCAGTGTATTGAGTCGCTGACAATAAATTTGAAGGAGTCAACTTTCTACATTTCAAGATATAAAAAGTTTTAAAAGCTGAACATTTCTGACAATACAAAAAAGCCACCCAATGCTCCTTGGCATGGTCTGACTATGGCCATGCCTGAAACTCTATGCTAGCCTTTCTCTATGCCTGGATTGCAAGTATCAAGGTGCTACATTGGAGCAAATAACAGGATCTTTCCTGTTCCAGATCAATATTAAATAATTCAAAAAACAACTTCATCAAAAGAAATTTAAAAAAAAATTCACTTACTTAAGAGATCCCAATTCTTTGAGGTTCTTGGTCTGCTCCTGCTCTTCTTTGTACATAAGACACTTTTCAATATAAAAATCCAAGCAAACCCTCAAGGATTCCATTGTCTCCATTGCTAATCTGTAACTGGAAAGCAGACAAACAAAATATAAGCCACTCATTCTTGCCCAATGTAGTATCAGAAGAAAGTCATCCATAATCTCTAGTACATTTATCTTCTTCACAGCAGATAATTGGCTGCTAGTCCATTTTTTGGGAGGCAAGCATGATCTACAGCATCACACGAAAGCCTCCAATATCATTCTTAAATAATCAGATAAGAACTTATGCCTGCTACATGGGAACTTGGAGTCAAGCAAGCCATGCTTCAGTGAAGAACATTGAGCATTGTTAAAATCCTGAGATGAAAGGAGATGAAACAAAGCCACTCATTCCTTTTCCAGCTTCTTTTTGAGTTTGAGTGGTTTTGGGATCCATCTAGGCTTGGGTTCTTCGTGCTAACACAAGTGATGTCTATTTTCGCAGAGAGTACGAAGCAGGCTATGGTAGTGGCATTAGGCAGAGTTGAATAGATGACGCTTCTCATCTCTCTCTTGGGTGAGTGGGTATTGAGCTTATGTCCCATGACAGGGTGGCCTGGGATTGAACCTAGCCAAGTCAAGTGTATATTTCCTAGTTCAAGCGCCAGCGTGCTTGGAAAGGGAGTACCCAAGCATGAAGTGCTCCCATCTCTGGTTGTGGGACGTTGAGGAACCGCAGCAGTGAAGGTCGAATCCCAGGGGAATCCCAATCCAAAGGGGAAAAATGCTTACATTTTCGGCAGCCTAATACTTCTTTTTTTTTTATGAAAACATGTCATTTAGGCATTTTCAACCTTCTGCAGTATTTTCACTTGATTTGGACATTTTTTCACTTGACTTCGACACTCATGCATGAGGAATGTCCCATGAACGTGTGTTCGAGTCAAGTGAAATGTTGTCTAATAAGAAAAAGGAGAGAATATTCATCATTTGCTTTACATACTTAGCGTTTGGCATACTTCAGGTGTAATTTCAATCTCGGTTATCGGCAGGTCATATATTGTTTTAGGCCGATATATCGGAATCACCCAATATCGGCCGATACCGATAACCGATAAAATATCGTTGCATCTCTAGCAAAAACACCCTTAACCTTTAATGATCTCAACCATTTGTGCTAGGAATGCCACATGGGCCTCTAGGAAATAGCAAAAATGGTAAATCCTAGCCCATATGCTCTGGATTGAGCAAAATGGACAATACCAATAATGACATAAATAACAGGACAATGGGAGGAAAATAGGCTGACTCACAAAGCAATTGCATCCTTCTCCTGAGCATATGTGGAATGAGCAGTAAGATGAAACCTCTTGTTCACCACATAATCCATGTATGATTCCATCACAGCCACTGCATTTGGATCACTGGGTAGCACCAGAAGCTGAACAAGCCAGAGTGGAGAACAGAAAATAAAGGCCAAAAATATAGGACATTGATTCTCGATACTAACACAATAAGCTTTACAACTTTTTGAACAAAAGCTCAGCCTTTTACAAATTCCTGATAGGAAACAAATTTTACCAACATACACATAGTAAATATGCATAGTGCAAACAGGGTTGCTGGATCATTAACGTTTCATCAAAAATGTCTACTCTCCAGGCATTAACAACATGCTCTTCCTACATAGCTAATGAGTTCACCAATGACCATCATACACCTGAAACCAACAACAAAACAATAGCACTAACCTTTTTCTGATGGGTTATGTAAAGCCAATCTTTCTCAAGGATTTGTTTCAAGTCTTGGGGGAGTTCCAATGGTACCTCCACACTTGCAGGAGCTTTTTCATATACTTCTTCATCTGAAGTTTCATCATCAGAGCACTCAACCTCTGACTTGAGAGATGACATTTCTGAGTCACCTGACTCTTCACCCAACCTTCGCTGGTGATGCCACTTCAGGCGCCTCTCTCCTCTGAGAATTAATCAGTAAATCAGGGCTGACTACATAGATATTCATACAGTAAGTTGATAGAAGAGAGGAGATCACAATGGCAGGGTTGAGTTCCTTCAAATTCAAAACTTTTTCTTCTATCCCAATCAAAAATAAACTTCAGACTTCAGAAGACACCACAACAATTTGGATGAAAGTAGAAAAACACTCATATAGTAGGCTTCAATTTTGCGGGGAATGGAACATCAAAATTCATATTTAGTTGGCAGCAGGAAGAAGTCACTTGGTCCAAGATTGCAACCCAAGGGGCTTTGTCCTATAATGACACATACAGCCAAATCTGGAGAAGAATCATACAAAGACATCATAATGCATGTCCTTCATTCACGTCTTGTCTTAGTGAAGTGGAGAAATGAAAGCAACCCATGTTCATTCCCTCCTACAAGAACTAATCAGCTGAGTGAGGGAATCCATAATGGCAAATGACTTCAGGAAAATCCTATCAAAAGGGCAATTTATTTCTCTGCAAAACATATATATTCCCCAAGCAACAAGGTCCACATTGAGGGAAAATCACAAATGAGTTGGTAAACCTGTAAACAGTTCCTCATCCCAGCAATTTGAAGCCAACTCTAGGAGGTTCCCAATTTGTACTGAAGCAATGAACTGTACTAAAAGGAAGCAAAGCAGAAAAGCAGCAGTGCTTATTACTATGTAAGCACAAGGATAAACATAGAGTATCTGTGCCCACCTTTACATGGACACGACTCATGCACTGACGGTTCTCTATGCATTTAATGTAATGCTCTCTAACAATGGAACAGTGAGTGAGTGAGGCAGGTCAAAGAACCTTATTCAATGATTCTGTACACTAAGGAGGTCTAAGGAAATATGGCACTAAGATTTTTTCAATGCTTTTCTAGCCACCTCTACCTCTAACATGTGAATTCAGAAACAGACTTTGTGGAGTCTCATATCCCAGGCTTGGAATAGGATGATATAGCTCCCATAAAACCAAGAGAAAAGAAGATATTTCCAGCTTAATCTATTAACCAACCCTACTCAAAGGTCATGCAAGAGATCATGCAGGATTGTACTTACATGACATCTTTAGCCTTTTGAAAGAGCTCTTTTTGCAGATCTCTATTATCCTCCCCATCCTTGAGGAGTGCATCTTCATCCACAATTCGATCCCATGATGAACTCCAACCCTTCCAAGAATATATAAGGCTTATTTGAAAAAAGTGCCACATTCAACATTTTTGTAATGCCAACAAAGGGAAATAAAATGAAGGCAAAATATAGGGTGTGGCAAAAAATAAAGACCCACGACTTTGAACTCAAACCTGGGCAAATTAAAAAATGCATGAAACATCACTAATGATAAGTCTCATGAATCTTGGGGTCTCTTGCATTTCAAAAATTGATATCAATGTATATTTTTATGTTAAGATTTGGAACAATGCCTGATGCTTTCCTTGTAGGGAGCACACCTTTCCTGGTAATTTACTATACAGTTCAAAGCATAAGTTGTTGAACTGCTTAAGTTCTTGAATAGTACACAAATGCTGGAACCTAAAGGGTTAGTCTGAAAAAAAATTAACAATCAGAGAAGGGGGAAGTACTTACTTGAAAGTGTACCTTGTACTTGATGATTCGCTTCCCATGTACATGACTAACAAGGGTATCCAATACCTGGAAAATATCACATATGCATTCTGAATCCTTAAGATTTAAAACCTGGCCTAAATAATGGTGACTGGCCATGTAAGGAGTACTGCCTGCATGCAAAATGGCAACAACAAAAAGATCTCAACTGTAACATGCATGTGCAGCATGAAGTGAAACATGCCACTGATGTTGACCATGTCACTGATGACTTTTGATACTAGTGTTGGTACCATAGGCTCCTCCTTCATATGTTGTTAGAACTCAGTTCATAATTGCCTTGCCCTTCTCATGTGAAAAATATATCCCCAATAAAAACTTTATAAATTTATCATAAATGCTAACAGAAGAAAGTTCAGGAAGTCGGAAAAAAAGGGTTTTATTATGGAGCCCCTCTTCAGAGATGCAAGATGAAGCAATATTAGAAACACATCAAAACTTGGTAGAATAGAATCCCTTGATGAAGCACAACCCAAGAGTTCCATTTTACTTAAAATGAAGGACCCCAATATTCAAATTGTACATTCTCTGCTCTGCCTGTGGACATTCACAAAGCAAGTCTTGTTCACAGGCTGATACATTCAAAACAGACATGTTAAAATTTCACCCAAATAGGTTGTGTCAAAGCAAAGCTAAGACAATTTTTTAAATATAATCAAAGCTGAAAATGGATTCACAGTGAGATCATTCTAAGCCCTTCAAAGTGACTTTGCTCTGCCTGCTACCTCCTACTTCATAGTAAATGAAATGAGAATTTGAGTCAATTTCAAGCAAACTCTCTTCATGTATATTCAATGATCCACTAGATAGAAACTCAGAAAAATCATAACTCAAACCATATTCAAAGGTCAGCAGAAGAATGAGTTTTAATAAAAGATGTGTTCAGTGTGATTTCAATGATATGGAACCACAGCATGAAAGCATTTCCTCTGTTGAACCCTCAGCACAGGTCCCCAACTTTTTTCAAATTTCAGACTTCTAAAGAGAAATAACATAACAAGCTTAGCCTTAGCACAACATTTGGACTTCATTTCAGATCTCTATTTAGAATGTTGAAAATGTATCAGTGAATAGGGCAAGATTAGAGAAACAATTTCCAGGAAGAAAAGAGACACAAGGGTCAATCTTGGGGGCCTTCTTTGCCATACCTAAGAGCAGAGAACAGAGTAGAATAGAGAAGCACTACGTATGGGTATAAAAGCAAAACTCCAGAAAATATTCAGGACATGGTACTCTATCATGATTTCTCCATGGTTTTGATACTTCTCAGAAGACCTTACATTGAAACCTTGTTAAGTTTGGCTATGTCATACAATAACAGCAAATGTCTACATTGAAATTATGAAGAGACCTACTGCCTGATGTATCCTGAACCCATGAATAGATCAGCAATTAAAGAACCAACAATCTCAATTTTTGGACCAATATTCCCAATATGAAAATGTTTATCTGCTGATACGAAGACCTGGAAAATGTATATGCATATTAGGGAATCTCACTCCTTGCCTCCTTAAAATTCCAGCATTTCACTTCATCACTAAACATTGCACCTTGTAACAGGTAGGCAGAAGCAATTCATGCTAAAAGTATTTTCTTGGTTGTTTATTTATTCCTTCCATTAAAGCTGGAAGTCTTTGAATAGGCATGCAAAAATTCCAAAATGACATGAATAGCAAGGCTTCTGACTCACCTTTGCATCATAAAGCACCCTAACTTTGGATGGATCAGGTTCATAACAGAGGACCAATTCTCCATTTGAATACTTCGTCTGACTCGCTCGTGTGGGTACCATTTTCCTTTCTCACAATTCAACTTATCTAAGAGATTGAGAAACCAAATCCAAGGACAGAGGTCGCTGAGCTGTTTTACTTTCATATCCAAATGTTATTGATTGAAAGTAAGAATTCATTGACCTCATGATACCTTTGACAGATATGGAATGTATTTTGGGAGTGCCAAGTTCCCTTGGCCACCATTCAACAATTGGTATAGTAACCAGTACAGTATGCAGAGAATGACCACTGAATAAAGAATAAATCAGAACCAAAAAGGTGTAACATCTCTAACTAAAATTTAAAAAATGTAAGCTAAAGAGAACAAATTATAAGTCTAATAATGGGCATCGGGAAAGAAGCCTATTAACAACAAACATGTCCTGCCTCAATTAGTCCTTTCAACAGGCAATATTCAATTTAGGATCATTTGGAATGATTTTAAGGAAGTTTTTCATTATTGACTGATTCAAAGTTGCTGCATTTGCATACACTATTTAGGCTGTAAAGTTCATGGCTTTCAGATTGAAAATGTTATTTTCACTTTCCTCATTACAGGAGTACAGATGATGATCTCATATAGCTGTGGAGTCACCAAGTACAGTCTTTAAGAGAGCAGTCCGAAGCAAACATCACTCTCATTTTAGATTAGCATTAACTCTATTTTTAACTTTTACTAACCTCAAGATTTCTTATAGCACTGTTACTCTCACACTAACTTAATAGTCAGAGGCTTTATTATTGGTAATGGAAATGGGGCAATACTAGGCTACCATTGTAATGACAGAATACACATTGGACTTTCATTGAAACCCCTCTTTTTAGGCAGCTGTCCTATAGCACAATTGTCTAATTCTTGAGAGAATGGTTATTTCTCATGCCTAATGGCATATTGAGAACTAACAAAACGAAACTTCTGAAAGCATTGTTTTTGCCAAAGACTATTTACATTATAGACTTACAATAAATTATAGCACTCAGAACTAGCCTATTTCTCATGCATAGGCTCTGAGGACAGGAAGGTCATCGTAGCAGTTTGAAACTGAATGAATACAAAGAAAGATAAGTCATAGACCATTCCACTGATTTCATTGAGGTTGATGCATGATGATGTGTCCATGAGAAAAAGGGACTTCAAAAGCAAGGAAGAGAAGCTGCAACTTCAAGAAAAGTTGAATAAGAGTCTATCAGTCCTTTGCATACTTTCAAAGTACACAAGTAAGTTAGATATGGACACTGGGCAAAAGGTTGCACCAAAAGCGATGACAACCCAAAGCTTTACCTTCTGGGGTATGCATGATCAGCCCTGCTAACCCCTACTCAGCAAATGCCAGAGTTCAATAAGAACAGCTTCAATGGGCATGGAATTTACTTAGCCACAAAAAAGCACACCTTTCAGCAACACTGACTGATGAGGAAATGCTGAAATAATTGTCCAAAAATTAGGTTCTAGAGGTGAACAAGGACATCCATTAAAGTCCTAGAGGTTCATCAAAATCGGTACCAGCTGGTGCCAGTCAACAGTAGACTACACTAGATAAGAAATGTTTTAAAATCTAATTCTGACTCTTGTGCATGATTAGGTGATTATTCCAGGTTCACCTATTCTGTCAATAACCTGGTGTAGATTCTGCCAAGACAAACACATAATGAAGGAATCTCAGCATTATGAACACAGAATTCCTTCTCTTACATGAAAAGGTTACTTACTGCTGAGAGTTAAAAGCATTCTTGAGTACTAATGTCCAAAGCCAGTGGTCTAGATAGTTTAAGCCCTTGTTCCATTCTTGTTTGCATTTGAAACATAATTTTAAAAATACAAAGTAGTCAGTGGCAAGTTAATAGATTAGCCTGGATATAGCATAATTGAGTTCAAAGCACCCATATCTACTGGATTGCTAGATTCCAGCAGCCAACTTATCAATAACTACCATGGAAGTAGAGTAGCTACCATACAAATGTTTGTGCATATTGCATCAAATGTCCCTCTAGTGTGGCCCACTTGAAATCTAATGCACTGAATACACATAATAGGGCTATCACATCATCAGCCAATTTTGCAAAGATTGGTAGGCAGTCCCCATATTATATAGTCAATTGTATAGGTTTCAGGCAAGCCCAGGCCTAGATCAGGGTTGAAGCAGTTACAGTGCTGTGCAAAGCCAGTGAGAAGCTCAAAAGAATGGGCATAGGCTATGTGCAGAATGACTTGCTTAAATTAGAGAAGCAGGCCTTGGGCATCATGGAATAATAATGAAGGGAAAGATGAATAAAAGTGTTCATTGAATGTGGAACAGGACAGGCCCAGGATGAAGGAAAAGGTGCAGTGACTCAAAGCAAAGGGTAAATGCTCAGGCTTGCACCTTCACCAGTGTCCCGCAGCAACTTTCACCAACTCCAGGACATGCCAAGCCAGAAACCTTTAGGCCTATGTCCTAATTGAACATGCACTTTATTCTAAGTGTTTCCTTCAAGTAGACGGAGTAGAAGCAGCCAAATAAATAGCACAGACGTGAGATAGAAGGTCTATGTCTAGGCCTAAGATTAGCCGAGCCTTGTCAAGCCCAAGGTTCCGTACTCATACTGGCGCATATGAATACCCTGATAAGCCAAGGTCTTAACGCTATGTTAACTTTCGACACTAAATTCATTGAAGAACTTGTAAGACTATCGAATTCGGGTCTTCGACCTCCGCGTCCGGGAAAACAAGGAGCACGACCGAGTCCCACTCGCCTCGGCCCAAGCAAGAACTGCCACAGCCACATGGCTGTAAAGGCCGCCACCATGGCATTCTGCGAGAACGTTCGATAATCGTCCTTCATTCCAATCAATTTCCCTTGTATTCGCATGAAGATGAGCGTATCATACACCATATCATGAGAGTGATAAAGGAAAAATAAAACGAAAATGTGCTTTATAATTTTCTCCTGAACACAGAACTGCACCGAAGCTTCTTTAAAAGAGTAACTTTAAATGCCCTTCCCCCCCTCCCCTCCCTTCACCGGGCGAGGAGATGTAAGCCCCCCCCATTGGCGAAATCCCGGCCACACCACTGGTAGAGAGCATGACAAAAGTGGTAGTCCGTAATTGAAGTTTCGACTCCGGGATATACAGCGCAATCCGCGGATGGTTTATAGGGTATTGAAGCTCGTCCTTTCCTAATAATAATAATAATAAATCTGATCGGATTCGCCCCCAGAGCCTAAAGTCGGATTTTTCCTTGTTCCTTGAACAAGGAAAAACACAGCAGAAATAATGGCGATTCCGCTCATCTATACAATCTGCTGACAATGAACCTCAAATTATTCATTTCAATTTATAATTCCAGTTAATTCCAAATATTCCACTGGAAATAGAACTGGGAAGAATTTAAGTCCGACGACCCTAAATCGACAAATTTGAGGCGCTTGCAACCTCCCGCCTTATACGTTTTTGGTGAGCGAGGAATCAACACCCTGACAAACGACCTGCAAGAAGCGAGACAAAAGGAGAAACTAAAATGGTCACCTCCGCGAAGAAAGAGTGAAGCGATCTCAGGCTCCTCCACGTCGTCAGAACCCAAACCATCCCCTCGCCATCATCCCAACCATTAAACGAAGCATCGCTGAAAACGTAGAACCTCCCCCCACCCCGCCCTCACAGCGACTCGCGCATGCGCAGAGCCTGTCCGTCTGGAGACCGAGACGAAAAGACGAGAGCGGACCCCGAGCTTCTCGGCCAGTCCTCAACTTTCTCCGTTCCGTGGACCCAGCCGACTCCCATCGAACCACTCGTTAGCGTCAGATGCGATTAAGACGGCAAGCAAATGAGTGATAATGAGCCCTGTCTTCATGCAGTCACCCATGCGAATCGAATCAAAGAGCATTTTAAATCCTTTAGCGAAGAAATCATGTTCGTACGCTCATTAGAGCTGATCGACTCAAAGCTCGCCGTGTTATCGAGCACGGCTTGATGCATAGACTCGATGGAACTCATAGCGGGAGCGTTACGAGTTCCTAAAACCCACTGTGACTCAAAATTGTTTTCAGCGATACCGATGATGGCAGTCGAGCACCTCGTAACACCTTCATATCTGAAGATTTTCTTATCTCTCAGATTTAGATGTTCTCCCAACAGGCCAAAGGCAAAAAGGGTCAGCGGCACAATGTCCCCCAAAGATAGGCCCAAGGATGGGATGCAAGTCATGGATGGATGCAAGCCATGGATGGATGCAAGCCATGGATGGGCTCTTTGTATACGGGGGAGAGACCCAAGATGTCCCGGAAGCAGTCAAGTTTAATCGGTCTCGGGTCCATTCGGAACCAGGACAGAATTAACGCAATTCCTTCTTAGGATTCCGTGAGTATATTCACTTGAGGTGAAGTCGCTTCGCAGATGGACTGGGCCGAAACGGTCTCGACTGCGACATCGCCTTCACAAAACGGCGAAAACGTTTAAGCGCCGCTTCACCATTACAGCCACAGTCGAGAAATGTTTTGTTTCGAATACCGGTATATATAATATTTATATATGCAGTGTGTATATAAAAGTACATTTTTTAGACGCTTTTTCCGTTCTCGCTAGTCCCTAAGAAGCGATGAAAAACGAGGTTCACATTCGAAGGGGATGACGTCACGACTGAGGACCAATCAGGACGCGCCCTCCGCTATAATTCATCTAGTCCAAGTGTGAAGATCGCGGCTGAAGGATCCTCTCTCGACCGGCCTCGTTTCGTTTTTCCCCGCTCGACGATTTCCGAATCGCCGGATCGATTCTGGCGACCGATCTGTCCCCGGCGAGACGCGTTTAAGGACTGCTCGAGGGCCGGCGAGGGAATCGGACCCTTTCCCGACCGATTTGTCAATCATGTCTCAGGCCGTCCCCGGTCTAGGCTTCGTTTCCTTGTGATGAACTGAATTATTCAATTCGTTCCATTTTTTAATCATAAGTTCGGTGTTTGTTGCCTTAACATGACGATCGCCCCGTCGCCCACCCCCAAACACAGGCCCTGGGACCTTGCCGAAGGTCAAGGCCCCCCCCCCTCTCGCCTGTGCTGGTCTGGTAGGGATGCTTGGAAGTATGCGGGTTTTTGGATTGGAAATGTTCTGTGTATAATGGTCAGACCTGGCACAGATGGTTTGAATAAGGTAAATCGCCCCGCGGCATCCCATCCTACCGCTGGGTCCTCATCGCCCTTCCAAATCCCCCCTTTTCAAGTTGTGCCTGTGTGTCCTCGCCCTTCCACCCTGAATCTATCCTCACGCGGTACTGGGGATTAATTTCCAAGTCGGGGCATTAAACGGATAGGAAAATAATTTGTGCCATTTCTTTTGTAACTCACCGTTCTGTTTCCCATGTTCCGATGTTCAGAAGTATAGCACTTCTTCCAAGTGCTATAACCTGGTGTTCTTTGCCCCCCCCCCCCCTCCCTCCGGCCCAATAACATTGCTGGGGGGGCACGAACCCCCTTGCCCCAGTGGGTTCGGCGTCTGTGCCTTCAGATTCCCATGGACCAGTCGAGTCTCTTGCACGAAGTGCAAGAGACTTCATCCTTCGTCCTCACGTAACAGCGTGGGATTGTTTCCTTGGTTTTTCAGTTTATCCACGGATTGCTGGCAGAGGTCCCCATACTTCGTTCATTATTGGGCTTGCATCGCGGACCTTGAAGTTTCGTCCCGCTTTCATCGCTGCGATCGATTCGAGGCCGGCCGTCCGGACATGAAGCGCGGGAAGCGGGGAGTTGAGCACCGGCAGCCGAAGCGGAGGTGTCGACGCTCGAAACCGCCAGTCGGTACCGAGTTGGAGGATTTACCCAAGGAGATGCAATTCCAGATTCTCGCGTATCTCTCGAGTGAGTCGAAGCGGCCGGTGCCGATTTCTCTCGACGTTTCGAGGAGGTTGAAGCTTTTCAAAAAGATTACGTGCATGCGATCCGTCACGAACCCCGGGAGGTCGTAATGCATTGCCGAGGTTGGCCGGGTAAAGAAAGCCGAGAAAAACGATTATCGATTCTGTCACGAGACGCCAGCACTAATGATCATCGAAGACGATAATTATCCTTGCAGTGCGGGACCTGGTGAGCCTGAGCGAGGCGTCTCGCGCGGCGGCGAAACTGGTCGAGGACTGGCTGAGCAGCTCGGAAGCGGCTCGGACCTTCTCGCCCCGGTCGCAGGACCGTCAGCACTCCGAGAAGCTCTGCGCATACGTAAGTCTGCGGGAGAGGGGGGTTGTGGAAAGTTGGACGTCTTCAACGGTGCTTTCTTCGTAGTTCGAGGAACTGGGGAAGATGGTGAGGGACGTGGCTTGGGTTCCGACGACGTGGCGGACCGTGCAGAGGAAGATTCACTTCATTCACGGCTTCCTCGCTAAGGTAACATCTCTCATTTTGTCCAGCAGGATTCGATTCGTCGGGGTTTTGAATCCCCATCCTTACGAATGACAAAAAAGTATCATGGAAAGTTGCATAACCTCCTCAGATGTGACGATTTGGAGTCGTCGGACTTGAGCTTTTCTAGTTCTCATTTCCCACTGAGATCTAGGATTTTAGGGGGCGAATCGGGCTTACTTCCAACCAATTTCGATTATTTTTTCTTTGACCGTAGGTAAACGAGACTAATTCCGACCCCCTTAAGCATAATATCCGTCCCTTCGCTTACGGTTTTGAAACTGATAGTACTTGGGGTCTATACCATTCGAGAGGCACGCTCACGGTTCATTTACCTTTTAAGACCGGACATTGGTGTAATTCAGTTGAAAAGGGCAGATTGGATAACTTGCTATTATATTCATTTCATGTGATTGAGGGGGGCGGAATTTGTCTCACTTATCCCCCTCTCCGGCAGGCTTTGGCCTGACCGGCCGGAGATAATACTGCATAGAAGTAGCACAAGCAGCAAACAGTGTAGAAATAATAGAAATTCCATATTTGCTGTCTCGAGTCCAGTCTGAGGATAAATCCAACTCAAGGAACACGGAATGGGGGACAAGTCTGAGTCTGATCTGATCCAAAATTTTGTAACCTTATTTTCAAGCCTTGATTTTATATTAATACAAACATCCGCAGAATACGCAGTTTACTTCGGAGTCGATATTTCAGCCCTGGACTGGCGCTTTTCTCATGCGTTTCTTGCAGCACATCTGATGGAAAATTACTAAGGTTCAGTTGCTTTTAAAAAGCTTCGGTGCATTTGTAATTTTATGGACTCATTGAATTTAAAAAGTTTTTATCTATTGAAGTACCTAGAACCTGCTTAAGTGAGACTTTTGAAGGAAGGAGGGGGGGGAAGAAATGAAACTGCGAAAAGAAGGAAAGGACATGGGGAGGAAAAGCATCAGCCCAAACCCCCTCAATAAAATTCTTCAAATCGAGCCCTGTCTTCTTGGTTCGTATTGAGTAACCGACTAATGAATGAAACTTGGGACGGCAGGTGGTGGAGCACTCTCAATTGGCTGAAAATAATGAAATTCCGTTAGAGGCTTTGGGGTATTTCTGGATTGCCGCATCCTGGAACTGGAAGGAAGACGACAAGGCCAAGGTCTCTTTCTACCCTCACGCTACGACAAAACTCGCGCTCAAAGTGCAGGTGCTGCAAGCGCTTCCGTGTTCGAGTTGCAGCTGTTGGCGTACCTGGAGGAGCAGGAGAAGATGGGGAAGAAGGTGGAGCGTTTCCTTCAGGGGGACTGCGGCGTGGATCCAGGGCTGGAGATGGAGATCCGGAGCTTCTACCGCTCCCATTTCATCGCGCCGATCGAGCTTTCCAGCGCAGCCAAGGAGAGACTGGAATTTTGGCTCTGGGTCATCCTCAAGCGCCACACCATTTATCACCAGGCCAAGATAATCTTCATCCTCTTTGGACCTCTCGCTCTCAACAACAGTTTGTCATCCCATCATCGCTATAAATTCGCTAGCGAGTCTCCTTATGAGGCTCCCCTATGCATTTCGGAAATATTGCTGATTGATAGGTTACAGAATATTCTATTTTCATCATTACTGCAGTCACAAAAAACTTAGTGAAGCTCTGCTGCCCCTAGTTTCATTTGGAACCGAGGGCTATTTTGTCAAGTGCCTTTCTCTGTGTCCTGTCGAATAGAAGCTCTGTATTGGGAGACAGTGAACGAGGGACACCAACGCCCATGCCATCACTTCACAGGACTCTCCAAGGCCATCAAGTTGATGTGGGACTATCGATTCTCCAAGGACAATGTCATATCAGTCATCTGGGAAATTACTGGTCTGTCACAATTTCATTAGCTTTTTTATTCTGCAGCAGGGTTCAACTGAAAAATCAGCTGATGTGCATCGGTGTTTATAACAGATTTACCGAGGAAGTGGCGAAGCGAAAACGAAGTCATGCTGCTTTTCCAATGCGGAACAGACTTTGTAGTTAATGTGTTGATGAATCTGACAACGAGTGGCCTTTACAACGAGGTCTCCCACTTCATCGTCTCCACTGGAAACAGTGCTCGGCTGTCGCCTCAGGTACAATCCCAATCCAACACAAAAGAGATCAATTATCAGCCCTAGCAGCATGCCAATAGGGTTCCACATTTTACTCTGCAGGGGCAGGGGATCCCACAATGTTATGGATACCGAGTGGCCAAGAGAGTAGTGCAAGCTCTTGTTGCTCGCTCTGCTGCTTCTGCCGAGCGTTTCCTCAACTCCCTGGTTCGTGCATACATCAACCAGATGCTGCAGGCTGTTGATGCACCAGGTTCTATATTTTACTCTTTCAGTCAGGTAGAGCATCCAAAAAAAGGTTTTTTTAATTGCATTTGTTGATTTTATCATTCAGCTGCAGCTGTTGACAGGCAAGTTGAAGCTCTCATCAATGCTGAGCTGAGCATCATGAGGGACTGCTTTCGGCATCTCTGTCCATGAAACCAGGAGGATTGAACTAAACAGTTTTAACTATTTTTCCCTTTTTGTCTCTGCCTTATTGCAGAGAATTCTTGAATATTTCAGAATATATTCACAGTATTATACCCCAGCTTTATTAGTGAATCAATGAAAGATAAAGATAATAAGGATATCAAGATGGGTCTTCCTTGTAACAAGTTTGCATCTCCCTCACCTTCACTGTCCCCATGAGGCTGAATGGGACCAGGGATGAGTACAAAATCAGATGAAAATAACAGCAGGGAGCTCCATCAGGGACTAGTGGCATCACAGCCGCACTTTCTTAACACAGGACAAGTCCCTGACAAAGAAGAGAATCCAAATGACAATCCTTAAATGGTCATAAGGTGCTTCACACAATATTTTCTGGTTTTCTCAATGAAAAATAGAAGCAATTTCAGCAGGGATTTCAACATGTTAATGTTTGGTACGTGTACATGCCACAGGGTCTGAAAAGGCTATAAATCTAGTATTGATGTCACACTCAGTAACAATATTGTTGCCTTTCGAACCTTCCTCCTTGATAAAGGCTCATTGAGTGGAAAGCTTAGAATGCCTGCTTTCCTTTTTTCTTCTTTTCTGATATACTCTTTCATTAATTTTACAAGATTCTACATTCAGTAATTGGCTGCCCTTGTCTACCCAACACATTTATGTGATTTGCCAATGCATAATCCAAGTCAAATCATGGTTAAAATCTAATGAAGATTTGGTTGACAATATTGTAGAAAGAGGCGTATTGTATCATTGTTGATTGCATGGAGTTCCTCTTTCAATTGCATTATTTCAAATATCATAGATGTTTTTATAACAAATTGCTACATCTCTGCACAACATTACTCCACTTCAAAAATGGAATCCAAGGTCATTTTTTTTAAAACCTGCACTTATACTTTTTGAATATCCAGTAGATGATGGAAGGTAACTGACTTGTTATCTCGACAGACGTGATAGTAGTCATCTACATGGACTTTGGTTGCAAGTCGCTCAACAAAAGCCTCATCGTGTGAAATGACAACGAGCTGGAAGTTCCGCTGCCTTGATCTCTTCTTCACCAACCTGAAACAAGGAATCAAATGTATGGGCATATTCCTCATAGTGGAAGAAAAATCCTGTCATAACGAAACAATGAGGCTAAATTTTTGGAAATGCAAAATGATTTTCCATCCCAGTAATATTGACCAAAGAGACTGATGTAACCTCACTTGAAACAAATTCCTGACATATCCATATATATGAACAAATTTAGCAGCATGGCTTTCATTCTCCAACCTGCTGAAAAAAAATTTCCTTTCTCATCTTGTTTTTTTCCAAGTTAAAGTGGGTGTTGGTAATTCTATCCTTCAAGTACATGAGACACTATGCAGAACCAGAAAAGGTATAGCAGAGTAATGTTTGAGGCACAGGGGAAAACTGATGCTAAGGTGCAGCTGTATTCTGCCACTGTCCAACAACAGGTTTCCCTCAGGGTTTCCTTCCCTTGAGCATCAGGCCCTGAATTCCCCATCCTTTGATTGCACACATCATTACTAGCACAAGCCAAAATAAAACACATTGAGCATGTCCAGTCCAGTACTAAGCCTCCACTCAATGATTGCTGGGAACAGGAGGATATGCCAAAAAGGTAAATGTTTGGAGACAAGAGTAAGGCATGCCAGATGTAGAATTTTGAGTTTGTTGAGGAAACCTTTCCTATGCTGTCATGTACAGCCCCTTTCTCTTGGTTTGTAAACAAATGGATCTGTCAGATATGAAGACTTAATGGGGAAGTAGCAGCTTTGGCTGGTAACATGCCACCAAAAACCCAGGCTTGAGTAGCTTGGGTACACATGCACTTTGGTTAAGATTCAATAAGGCCAACAGATGCCAATGTCTTTCTACAATAATCAAATTAGAACATTTGAAAATGTTAAATGTTGATCAAATTCCTGTTTTTTGCATATTTAATCAAGAATGAACTCAACCTGCACCTTATCCATATCTGGTTACATACCAACTTTCAGTATTCAGATCAATAGTTGGTTAGTTAGAAATGGACAATGAAAGTGGAAGACAGACGGACAGAAATGATGGGGCCAGAAATAACCTCATTCCTTTATGAATGGAAGCCTATGGCAAAGGGGAATAAATCAGTTAAAATGAAATGCTGTGGCAGAAAAATTACTTCCATGATACCCTGGCATTTCACTATTTGGTGTTTTACTGGACCAGAAGTATCCACAGGATGTATTCAGGTTTCACACAGCAATATGAATTACATTACACTTAAGATGAATATTTAATAGTTTCATTGCCAACTCCTCTGTATTGTCGGGGTTAGGAAAATGTACATTCACCCAAGGAGCAAAGTCACCTGGCTCCAGCTCCACATATCCTGGTACTGCAAAATGAGCTAAACAATGAGTCTCCATTTCACATTGTTGAACAAGTTTTAGGATACTTTTGTGAAAAGATTGTTTCTTCATTTACTCCAGCAACTGAATAAAGAAGAAAGAAACTGAAATCAACTTCAGCATGGTGTACAGCTTTATGAAGTCAATGGAGACAACACTATAAGAATGAGGTTAATTCTTGCCTAATTCATGGCATTGATTGACTGCAAAATATGACCCAATATCTACAGGAACAACAATCATTACTATGTCAAGTGAGACATCAGTTACAATACCATTGTTGATATTGGCCCTCTGAAATCGACACTACTGTACATGGACAAGTCTTACAGAACTCTTTTAATGGAGTGCAACAGGGATAATGCTCAGCTTTAGCTGTCATAGCTCACACCAACCAGTTCTTACACCCTACCAAATCCATGTGTGTGCATCAAATTTCTGCTTCCTTGCACAAAGCTAAGTCGTCAAGGATAAGGCTGAGTTCATACTCATGCTGTACAGCATGTACAGCAACAGCAAAATCCAATCCAACACGGGCATGTTGCATTGGACGATATGCAGTTGCAGCATCCAGTTAGTTGCACAGCACAAGAATGAACTCGGCCTAAATGGTCTTCTGCTGTAAACTCACTTTCAGAAAAATCCCACCCGAATTCCAGATTTATGATTTAAAAAATTAAAAATCCAGACAAATGTGACATCTTACTCTTCAAGAGCCTCAGCAAGAGATTCCACATTCTCCTTGTCCAAGTTGGTTGTAGGTTCATCAAGAGCCAAGACACCACACTTGGTACCAAATGTCTCTGCCAATGCTATTCGAATGATCAAGGAGGCCAAGACCTGTCAGTAGAGAAACATATTGATCGGAAAAGAATGACGAAAGAGAATGAAGCAAATGAAAACAAGAGCCTTCATAATTTCATCACCTTCTGCCCAGCACTACATCGTCCTCTCATGTCCAGCTCTACTTTGTTCTTGATCATCACCACTCGATAATTGTAAGTCCTCCTTGAGTCAGCTCCCTTAGAATCACTTGGGTCTGTTTTGATCTCGATGTAGTCAATATCTGTTCAATCATGGAGAAGCATCTTTCACTAATACTTACAACACTGAAGATGCCTGCACAGGGAAGGAACTGACCGCTGCCCTTGTAAGTAGTGCTCCAAAGTTCCCGTACAGTCCGGTTTATAGTGGTCATCTTTTCCACATGGAAGCGCATGATTGCCCAGTCCAGAGCCTTGTAATACTTGTTCAGATCTTCTGCAACTATTTCTGTTGCCTTGGATGCAAAAGAACTTCAAAGAATTACAAATGCATGTACTGATACAGTTGCATTTTCAAAAAGGTTCACCCACTTTCAACTCCTGAAACTTCTTCAGATAATTGGCCGATGCATCTCTGAGGATTTTGCCCTGAAGCTCCTTGTTGATTCTGCAGATGGTTTCAGCCAGCTCCTTTTGCTGACCTTGCTTTTGGTATCTCTGAAATGTATATGAGATGCATCTAGAAGATTGATGCATTCAGAATTTGCCAGGCAAAAACCATTTTTGTTTTCCATTTCACTGATATAAATGGGAAAAAACATCATTATTCCCAAGATCAGTTATTAGCTAAGTCTAAATCAAATGCCATTAACCCCAAGCATGACTTTTCCTGCTAGGTAGCCTCCAGTGTGAGAATGGCATATGAGTCACACACGCTTGAGGAGTTAAACAATTTCCAAATGACTTCCAAATTTTCCCACTAATAACTGGAGTAAGTTTTTCTGGTTTCCATTACCAGACACAAAAGAATGAAGGCAAAAGATCCTAGGCCCAACTTTGCAAACAGAAGAATGCTATGAGTCTGTGTTTCCTTGCAAGAGACCACTAAGTACAACAAAGTGGAACCTTTTATCTAAGAAAATCTCCTTATTCCTTTTCCCCACCATGAGAAGTCATTGGTTCATGTTTCCACCACAGCATTAAAACCAATCAGAGACAACTGCAAGCAGATGGCACATCCAGTTCCAATCAAGCACACTCAGAACACAAGTAGACATGTCGTCTGCTTCTTGGAATGTGATGGTGACTATCCAGGATGCATCTATCAATCTAGATAATGAAAGCATACTTCCCACTCTCACTGAGACAGGGCAAAAGAATGGAAGGGAAGGGAACTGAACCTGCTGTTGGAGTGTGCCTGCTCTGGTAGACAAGGTCTGTTTCTCCTTGAAGAGGTCAGTGCTGTTATGGCCACTAACTTGAGCTCTTAATCGCCCCAGCTGCTTCTCTAACTCTGCCTGTTCCTCTTGTCTCTCCATCAACAGCAGGCATGCATGCAGCTCGTTTTCACGCACCTGGAAAAAGACTATCAAGCACAAATGAAGAGCAAGACGAAATAAGTCATGTGCTTCCATGATAGCAAATTGTGATGATGAAAACATTTCCTTAATCTTATAAAAGTTAGAGACCCAGTGTTAATGCCAACAGTGAATGTTTAAATTAATAGAGAGGAGACAAGGTCAAGTAGCTACAAATCTTCATCAGTTCAATGTGACATTCAGTTCAAATTGAAACACAAGCCAGGTTCTTGGATTTCATGATGAAATAGTGTTTTCTCATGAAAGCCAAATACATTAGAACCCATCAAGTTTTTCCATCACATCTCTGTTATTTGTCTGCTCATGGGAAAAAGGGGGAAAAACTAGGGGAGTGCAGGAGCAGTGAAGATCTATGAACCTGTTGTTGCGAGATGTCCCGACGAAGGGAATCCAGCTGCTCCACCATGAGGTCCCTCCTGGCTTCCAGTTGGGCTAGCTCTGTCTTAAGCTCATCATCTCTCTCCTGGGCCTCTGACAGCCGATTCCCCTTCCCACTTGACTCATATCCCATTATCTTTTTCTGCAGACTCTCTATTCCATCCCTGCATTGCCTCTTTTTCTCTAACTGCAAACAAAAATCACAGTCAGTAGAGGTTTTTTTTCACTCGATACCAACAACTACAGAGGAAATCAAGATGGCAGTGAGAAGGGCAGAATATAACAAAGAGCCAATTTCAAGATGTCTGCTTAGTCACTTCTATGTTATAACTAGGGGGCAGATTCTAATTCTCCATAAATCTATAAAATATTATGGTTTCATCCTGTAAAAAAAAGAAGGCAAATTATGCTACAAAAGCATGCCCCTAAAATGTTTAAATGGATGGTGGTAAAGCTTAATTTCTTCATTTGGGAGCTTCAGCAATTGTAATTGGTATTGTCATAATAACATACCATCATTGTATCAAAGCTGACTGCAGTTAATAACTGGCAGTTGAATCTCAGAGAGGCTTTCATTGTGGAAAAGCTGAGCTCCACATTAACACTTGTGATAGGCATACATAAAGTGAGAATGACACTGGCAGGCAATTTTACCCTTCACAGTAAAAAATAATGATGAATATTGGAACCGCTTCTGGTTCTAGTGAAACTTTTATGGAACCAAGCAAGAATGAGCTTACACTGATTTCTACAACAACCTGGATCTCAGGGCTATGACAAGAAAGGTCATTATATTCACTATCATCAGGGACACCCAACCAACTGCTCATACAAGTGACAATTCAGCAAAGACGTTGGGAAATAGCTTCAGGATAGTATACGATATTCACTCATGTCACACCCCTTCCTAAATAGTTTTGCACGAGAGCATGAAACAATTTCAAATGGTTGCTCAAATACCTGAAACTGCTATGTGGGCATACAACCATCAAAAGGTTCTAGTCCACACCATAATTTCTTTACAGTGGAGATAGGTTTTAATCCCTCCCATAAAGAATAATTAAAGAACTGAATCACATCGTGATAAGGATTTTTCAACATCAAGGAATCAAACTTGTCATACATGTCATCAAACTTGTCATAAGTGCTATTTTCAAGAGATTCAGGATTAGACTTCAGCTGTTTCAAAAGATGCTTGATTAACTCCAGAGAATCTGGATGACAGAGTAAAAAGGAAAAATACGAGCCTCAGTAATGAACCAGGTCTCCCAAGACAAGACCTAAAGATAGGAAACTATAGTTGCCATTATTATGATTTGAACTTGTTGGACAGAAGCAAGACTGCCATGTAAGGTGTTCTTGGTACAAGCAATTAGAGGAAAGCAGCATGTCCATTACCTTCTTTCTCAGAAACTTGTCAAGCATGCCATTGAAACAAGTCATACATGCAGGAAAAATGTTCTAAAATGATCATTTTTAGCATTTCATGCTGTCATTAACAAAATATGCAAAACATGCTGAACTGAAAAAACATAATTTGATTCTTCACATTGATAAAATGTCCACACTAGGAGCACAAAAATGGTCAAAAGGAAAAAAACATACAATACCACAAAAATCCTTAGTCATATTTCTGTATCCTTTTCCTTCCAAATACAAGCCAGTCAGAAATGTAAAACATATTTCATCTAATAGGAGGTGAAGGAATCAGTTCAAATCATGTACTGATAACAATACCTATTTGCAATACAATTGCAAATACCTAAGTGAGGCACTGTGCCTCACTTAATAATTGCTGCCATAGCAAACAGTTTACTTTGACTCTAACACTAATCTTTGTACAGGATGATTTGTATCCCCTATTGGTCAGAGTGACTTGCACTACCTTCCCTCCCACATAACTCTTTACAACAAAATTATGCCTTTCTCTACATTCTCTAAAGTGTTGGCACATACTCTATATGACCTAACAGCTGGAGGGATATTTAAATTCCAGTAGGCATAACTAAATACTGCTCACAAAAAAAAAAGTTTATCATAACTGCTACATGTAATTTACCACTCATGACAGAATCACTCAACAGGAATATGCATACTGAATTTCCATTCAACTGTCACCAGCAACATCAATGCAATATAACAATGACTCTAACATTGGTTCGATGATGCTCAAGCGCAACCCTCTTCTCATCTGCAATTCTGGCCTTATCCTTGCTAGAGGCATTCAGCTGGGCATTGAGTGGTTCACACTTCCTCTGAATCTCCTGGATTTCTGCCTCAGTCTTTGCAATCTGCTTCTGCAGCTCCCCTTGCTTCTCCTCCATCTTCACCCTTTCTTGCAATTCATTCACTGCCTGGAATCATAATAATCATAAATACTAATCCCTGTTATGTCATCACATACTGTCCTGTCCTAAAATATTCCTTCCAAATAGGAGGGGAATATAAAGGAGAAAACCTTGATTTTGGCCTCTGCCAAGGCACTCTTCTGGATGCGAAGGTCGTTCAATCGTTCCCTGTGGTCTGCCAAACGCTGCTGAAGGGATTCCAGCTCCATCCTGCGGGCACTGAGCCTGGCTTCCTCCCTTTCCTTCTCAGCAGCCACCACTTGCAGTGTGCGTCTGGAGTCTGAAGGAAGGAAAGTCTTCATTGTAGGCATCAAACAGATTTCAAAATCCACACTCAGGAAAAAATCATTGGGGCACCTCACCAGACACAGAGACTCTTGTCTCCTGTGATGCAATCTCTATCTTCAAGCGTTGGATGTCCCTGACTTGAGTCTCAAGCAGGGCTAGGTCAGGCTGAATGGAGCGAGCGATGGCTTCATCAGTTTGCAGTGTTTCCAGTCGTTCCTCCAGGTCAGTCACAGCTGTGTTTTTGTCTTGGATGTGATGCTTCAGTTCTTCTATTTGAGTTCTGTCAGAAATGGTAAACTAGAGTTTCTCAGAAGAGAGAACAGTAGCCTTGTACACCTGAAAATCACCTGAGAGATGGCAAGTGCTGGCTTTTGGAAGCACAGATGCTTTCTTGCAGTGGCCGGAGCTGAACGAGGGCATCATATTTGCACTTCAATTCTTTCAATTCCTGATCTTTGGTATTCATGTGATCTGGGATTAGAGTCAGCTTCCCTTGCAACTGAATGTAAGACAAAGTAAGTTTGAGGATAATTTCCTGATTCAATTTGGGAAACCAATTGAAGCATATGATAGAAAAAAGCTCACATACCTCTTTGATGAGATTCTCCACATCTGACCGTGACTCAAACTTGCGATGGCACAAAGGGCAGTCTGGGCCCTTTGTCTGAAGCCGTTTCACATAGCGACTGTAGAGGTGAGTGGAGCCCACCAATGCTCCCTTGGCTTCTTGATTCTCTGTCAAGGCCTTCTCAGTCTGCTGGATGGCTGTTTCCAGTTCTTGGTTACCAACCTGGTCTTGGATCCGAGTCTGGGATGCTGCAAGGGCATTGACATGATGAGCATAAAGGCTGAGGACAATGGCAAAATGGCAAGGAACACAGTGGTGGCTTGAGGTCTAAAAAAAGTCAAGGCCAGATTCAAAAGTCATATGTGATGGATGAAGCAAATAAATGGGGTTTGAAACGTGTAAGTCTGGAAAATGAAAGCAGAAGATCCTACAGAAGATGGACAGAGTTGTATTCATTAGCAAAACTAGAAGTACTGTCCAATTTAGTTCTTATCTGATGATCAAAGACTCATAAATGCTGCTATGTCTCAACTGTCTTTTATGGATAATAAATGAAAGCAAGTTAACCTGTAAAATAAATTGTGCCTATAAGCAACAGATCAGCACATTCCAATTTTATTATGGAGAAAAGTAAAGGCCTAAAAGACTGCAATATTGAATGCCCATCAAAATGAAAGGGATTAAGAAATGTAAGAAAATTTGAAAATGAGAGACAGTGCACAAGAAAAGATAGAAGAAAACAGACAAATATAAATGCACAAAAATGGAGAAATTAGAAAAAATTGGGCAGAAAAAACCAAGAATGCAAAAAAATCTGCAAGACGCACTTTAAAAATGGCAAGTGTACAAAAGTTGGTACTGCACTATGTCTTTAAAAAATTGGTTGAAGTATGAAGAAGTATATCATCATAGTTTTAGTTAACGGAATACTATGGATGAAAAAATAACTTCTACAGGTCCCTGAAGTATTTTATTATATGCAATTGACTGAGCATACTTTGTTATAAAAAAGCTTCCAAACTAAAACAAAAAGAGAGAGCACACCATCAAGGCCTAATTTGGCAAAAACAATTGTAGGCTTCTCTGTTCTCTTTTTCTTGTACAGAATATACTATTGGAAATCTCTGAGATCATTGTGATCAGCCTGGTCTTACACCTTAATAAATACTCTGAAACCACATTTTAATGCAAAGACAAGGAACCGTACAAGTTACTTTGCCATAAGGGGGAGTTTGTTGCTAACACAATCTTGCCATTAAGCAGGGAGGACAAAATCATTTCACTCTAAGGAGAATTTCGTTGAATCTGATTTTATGATGGGGTAGCAGATGGAATGATGAGGTATTATATGTGTAGAGCACAGAGTTGCCATAAAGAAACCTTTTAAGGGACTGTTAGATGCAGCAAAAGTTTGACAGGTTGATCAGCCCAAAAGGGTATGCACTTACATCTGGCCTCACAGGCCAGATGTCAGTGCATTTTGATGGGGAGAGATGTGCTCACATATGCATTAAAGAACAGTATAAATGATATGATGGCAATAGGGTAGCAAGCATTTAAAACAATTGGCATCCATTTCCACTTGTGCATGCAACCTGTGCACTACTTGGGTGAATGCTGCATAGATTAAATTCACTGGGATGGCAGCAATTTTCTGCCATATAGCATCCTTATGGACAGGAAAATTGAAATTAATCACTGATAGTGAGTTTCCATTCTGATAATAACTCCTCATTAATGCAACACATTGCATTAATGGGGCACGGCAAACTTAGGCATGTTGTCTAGAATGCTGGTTATCCCAGACATAACTCTCAATCAATCACCAAAACCTTTCACCAAATATGCAACCTTCCCTTGACAAAAGCACCACCACTTAGCTGACATGATAGAAAACCCATTAACCTCATTGTTAAACATCAGTTCCATCCAACAGTTCCTTTAAAAGTCACAACCAAACAAAGTTGTGTGGTTTCTTTATAACAACCCTGTATATCAAACCAGAATATGGGATTTGAGAGAATGGGCCTTCCATGTCTCCTTTGATGACCCACCACTAGGGCTACTCTTAAATGGTCTAAGAACATACTCTGAAGTTCCTTCTCTTTTGCTGCTAGCTCCTTTTCACAGTGCACCTTTTTATCCTGAAGGCGATGATTTTCCAACCGGGCTGCCTCTAGCTGATTCTGCAAAGTTTTCACTTCACCACTCTATATTTAAAAAAAATAGGCAATGCAATGAAGAAAGAAAGTAGCAGCCATTAGGGGGGGAAAAGGTGAACTGGCTCACAAGGCGCTGGACAAGAGAATCCACTTGAGATCGGATATCTTCATCAGCTACATTCCCAACCAGATGGAGGATGCTATCCTCATGTGTCACTTTCCTGAATAAGGAATGTCACATGCAGTAACTTGTGCCAACAGCAGCCATACAAAATGTCAGAAGCAACATTCACATAAGGTCAATTTTTTACAATCATTCCAAAAGTCTCAAGTATTGCATGTCAAGACAACAATGAGTGAGACATAATGTCTTACAACAGTCTATAATTACACAATCATTGATAAAGAAATGCTAGGAATTGCACCATCTTTCTACAAACAAAGCTGCAGCAATGCTTGTGAAAATTGTGATAAATCTTCAAGTCAGCACAATATCTGTAGTCAATGCAGCTGTGAAGAATTCCCTCAATGCACAGTGTGGTAGGCAAAATAATACCCCTACTATTTACGATTTAGATTAAAGTGCATTTACTGTGATGCAGAATGTGTTAAACAGAGTAACATTGAACTTGAAGATTTTTCAGTTTATTTTTTTCCTATTATGTCATCAGTACTAGATTTAGAACAATGGCAGATTTTGGGATAGCCCTTATAAACCCTCTAACACAGAACATATTATGCCATTACTATATTAACCTTCTTGAAGGATAATCACTAACTCACATTTCAAGGTGAATACAGAATTGTATCTTCACTTCAAACAATGAAATTACCAATACAACACACTAGCTCTCAGAACAGCTTTTCACTTTTGTGCATGACAGCTTTCAAGTTGACAACTCACAAACGACGAATACTTTCTTGCTTTGCATTGAGATCAGAACGGAGCTTGTCTAGTTCAGCTCGAGCAGATGATTCGATATGCAGGCGATTCAATTCCTTGTTCAGCTGATTCACCACAGTTTCTAAGCTGGATTTCTGCCCCTGCACTTCCTCTATCTCTTTCTTGATCCCACCTGCATATAATCCAGAAAGAACCTGTCCTCTCAAAGAAAAGTTTTTTCCCCATGCAGAAGCAGAAAAAAACATTTTCAAGTTGCCTAGTTAGAGAGTATCTAGGAAACACAATAAGTTAAGTTCAGCCCAATGGTGGCTCCACTTGAAAGGGAATAATAATCCAATATTTATGCATAATCATCTTCTCAAATTCTCCATAAGCATCTGCCCATCATTAGTACTTCAAACTTTCCTCACACAATAACCCATAGGTGACATTCAATGAATGTCACCTATGGGTTATTGTGTGAGGAACTAGGAGGACTCTCCTATATCAGTCCCAGCACTTGACATTTTAATGTAAGGCATGGAACTCACATATCATACCCCAAGACAGGCTACTTCTTACTTTTTTCTGCAAATATAAAACTGCACATACAAATTCCAAACTTATTCTCTTACATAACATTTGGAATGTAACACATGGTGGAAACACTTATGATACCACATTTCCGGATTTAACATTGTCATTTGCCCCAGGAGTAAGTTAGTAAAGATGTGTTAATGCATTACCCAATGTTATCATGTTGAATATGACCATACCCTCCTTATACATTCTCCCCTTTTTCTATTTCTTTAAAATTGAAATCGCTAGAAGCACTTAAAATAACTGACCAGACCTGTTGTGACTGACCTTCATCAAAGGCTTCCTCTAAGGCAGCTATGTCTTGATCCACTCTCTCTATTTGGGACTCCTTGATGGAAAGTTCAGTGTCAGAAGCAGACATCTGATTCAAATTACGACCCAGCTTTCTCACTTCTTCCTTTGACTCCTTAACTTGCTGCTGCTTCAATGCCAATGTGGAATCCAAGGTGGATCTCTTGTCCCTATTGATAATGCATGGCATTCAAACTCTATGTTCACACAAATGTTCAGAAGCACTTGCTGCACCAACTCAACTAAATCTATGCATGTGACCAATTGTACAGTCGAACTCGGTTATAACGACCTCAGTTATAAGGAAACCTCGGTTATAACAACGAAAGCGCCAGGTCCCGGCATAGAGCCCATAAGGCACATTACATTTTACCTCGGTTATAGCGAAACCTCGGTTGTAATGAAGTCCATTGAAGGTCCCACAGACGAAATTGACAACGTTTATGTCCCTAATCCGTCATTCTTAACTGAAATGTCCATCATTGGAAAAATTAGCGTTGGCGAGCCATAACTTTATATTTCCTGGATTCGGCATTCCTTGAGACTCATGTGGGTGTGGCTGGAACAATGTTAGGGAGGGATAATCCCCAATAACTAAGATCACCTTATCTTCACTCGCCATTTGCATTTCTCGTTGACAACATGGCCAATGGAAAACGAAAGAGGCAAGCCTTTGCGATTGAAAGGAAAGTGTGCTTGATTAGTTTAATAGAAAGAGCTTGAAGTGAAGCTAATGTCGCTCGCGCATATGGACATCTGTTCATATGTTTCCATAATTTGGGAAAATCATGACAGCTTCATCTATGTTTATGTGAACATGTCACAAAACAAGAAACTTCCTAGGTCTGTTGAGATGACATCGACGAAGCCTTGCTAAAATATAAAGTAGTTCAAGGTCCAAAGAAGTGGGAACATCACGATTAGTGGGCCAATCTTGAAACTGAAGCTAGTGTAGTATGACCAATGTAAACTGGAGTTGTAACATTATATGGCATCAATTTTGAAAACAGGAAAACGGAGTTCCAAAGGCAACCTCGGTTATAACTACGGTTTTTACCTGGTCCCTTCGATGACATTATAACCAAGTTCGACTGTACTTGGGGTACATTTTTTCCAAGCAATTTTAAACCTGCTATAATGTTTTTAAAAAATACCTAGGCAAATTGGGCTATGTTGTAGAGTCACATAATGACAATCACTCACCTAATTTCAGAGATTCTCTCCTGAGCTTCATTAAGCTTCATATCATACTCAGCCTCAGTCATGTGCATTGTATCTTCAGAGCTTGTGACAACTCCATTTAAATCTCTAAGAAATTTCTCCATAATATTCTGAGGAATGTCTGCTCCTTCAGCAGGAATCCCTAGGTGAACATCATGGATAGTAAATGAAGGATCAAAGAAGCAAATGGAACAAACTGAGCTAACAAACAGAAAATCAAACGACACCTGAGATACTGAAATCACGTGCAGCACTACGAATGAGGGTATCTCGGTCTTTGATGCTCTGATTATGTTGGTCATGCTCAGTCTGAAGTCTCCCAACTTCCATCAGCATCTTGCGCCGCTCTCCATTTAGCCTCTCGATGTCTGCCCCGATGCTCTCTTTTCGCTTCTCCAGCTTCAATCACAAAAGCCCAAAAGTGATGTAGGCCTGAAGATGATTCCAGATGAAGTGGAGAGCATGGGGATACCTGTTTCAGATGGCTCTCCTTCTCACGGATCTTGAGAGCAAAAGCCTTAATGTCATCCTCGAGGTCTTCTTTGGTCCCACGAAATACCTCTGAGATGCTATTCTGCAGGTCCTTCTGCACGCGTTCATTCTCCTTCAGCTTAACTTCCTTGGTATCTGAGGGGCAGAAAAACTAAAATGGCTGTTCTTAACAAATAGTACCTAAAAAGCCCAGATTTATGAGCTCACCTATTTCATGATTCAATTGCTGAATCTCCTTCTCTTCCTTCTCTATATCTGCCAGTTTTTCCCGCAGTGGTGTAAGTTGGACTTCTATTGTCTCAATTTCATCCCTGGTTTCCTCTTCTCGTTTCTGGAGCTTGGACAGCTCATTCTGCTTTTGCATCAAAACATCTTGCATCTTCTCCAACTCCTTTAGTACTTCCTTACTAGTCTTCACATCTTTTGAAAAAATATATTAATCTTCTGAAAAACATCAATTGTATTAACACTAAAAAAATTGCAAGATTCCCTCACCTTCCATATATTTTTTTCTGGTGTTCCTTATTGCATCCAAGCATTTTATATACTTGGTGGCAGAGAATATGGCATCAAATTTTTCTTTCAGCTTCTTGGGTTCATCCAAAGGCCTAAAACAAACAAAAATGCAAATTTGTTGAATGCATTCTGGCAATGAATGCTCACCCACTAAACGAAATGTAAGTTACACCAAGATATGACAGTACTAGTACTAGAGAAAATGACATACCACCATTTTTTCCCCAAACTATAAGACCAGAAACTAAAATTAAATTACTTATAGTTTCCAGTCTTATACAGGTAACTACACCATTTCAAAAAATTACATCTATTAAACAGCTGACACAAAAAATATGAAATATTAACTGAATGATAGCATGTCACTTGGAATTACCTAAGTAAAAAATGGAGGTATTTCTGCACTTTAAAAGTGCCTCAAAATCCCCTTTGTCATCATGCCAAATGTATTGACATTTGACATGATGATTGGCACCAAATAATAGTTGAAATTCCTTTAACTCTGATGGGACTCTCAAAGACCTCCATCCAGTTTGCAACTTTTCTTTGTTGCTCCAGCATCTATTGTGAAGCCTTTTCTCATGAGAGCAAAAGCAAATTAAATAAAATACTTTTTTTTCTTTTTCTTAAGTCTACCTGAAGTTAGGAGAGAAAAATAAAAAGCTTACAAAATTTTTAGAAGAGGATTCAATGCAGTGTAGGAATAATGTCCCTAAACAAGTACACCTTCCCAGTATGCATTTGAAGCAAGTTCAGTTTGAGTCTTGTTCAAAGTCATTATCATTTGTAAAAAATTCTAAGAAACATTCTTTCCATAAATACTAATAACAGTGACCTGTTTATTGCAGTTTGAAATGATATGACTTATATAATACCCTGTAGTTTCTACAGCCCTGCTCCTCATTACTGATGTGAAGGTTTCCTTTGCCTCACCCTTAATAATGTATTGCTTCCTTTGGTTTCTTTCTTTAATTTTTCCTCCAGTCACTTCAATATTTTTGCACTCCACTGGCTTCATTTTCTTTAAAAAGGTAGCATAAGGAAGCATGCCAGATGAGCATGCTGCTGCTTTTAATTAGAAAGAGACCTTAGGCATGATGTAAATCTTGAAGTATTCCCACCCCTTATCATCTTGCAACATCTTTGCATGCAACTAGTCTACAAAAAATTATTGAAACACTATTTAAATAAGTTCAGAAAGAGATTTTCAAGATATCAAAACGTATAAAAAACACTCAACAAACAAGACTTTAAACTTTCTTTCAATACAGATTTTGTCTGATAAGTTATTTTTATGGCTGGCTGTTTGCTTGTTTGACCCATTTATCAAAGCTTTCATCATAATCAACAAATTAAGCATGACTTACCAAAGGCATACATTACCTCTAGAATCTCCCCTCATGTGAATCCTACCAAGGCTGGGAGATGCATGTCATAGTAAGCACCTGTGAGGTACCCTGAACGCAAAATGAAGATCAACTGGGCAGGTTGGGAAAACATGGTGAACAAGTGGTGCCCAATATGCTACTTCATAAGGAATAACATGATGACTGCATTCTATTCCAAGTGGATGATAGTGTACCAGATGCCATTTTTTCTGTCTTCAATGAAAATATGTATATACTTCCTTTCCCTGATTCAGGAAGAGGCTGAATGAAATTTGAGTACTTACTCAAGCAATCACAATTAATCAGACTGAAATATTTATTGATTTCCTGCCTTGGCTGTTATCCCATGTGAAGGAGAGAGCAAAAGCTTTAGGGGTAATAGGTGAAAACAAGACAAATAACAAATATCAGCATCCATAGGCTTACCAGTTAGATTCCTCTTGATGGCAAAAGAGGACATAGTTGAGAATTGGCTTGGTGACACCTAGTGCCAAGCCCACTTCCACATCTAGGTCAGCACATTTGTGACTCAAGGACACTTGCTGAAAATTTTGAAAGCATGCACACACATCAGAAGCATTCATGGAAGATAGTCAGCCTAAATCTCTGGCTGCATGAATTGGTCTTCATTAATATATAAGGAAGCAGACAACAATTAGCACCCATTGTGAAGCTCACTAGTATGATTTCAACATGATAAGCATTTTACTTCTGGGAAGTACATTTAAATATGAGAGCATGAAGATGTTTTAGAAATTTGGTATATGCATTAGCAGCATCTTTACACATTTGCAACCTCTGGTCTCTATACTCTAGGGGTATGCAGACTAGGGGTCTTCCAGTAAAGTATCTCACTGCTATGCTTGAAGATATGTAGCACTACACTGCCCTCTTCAAGCAATTAAATTTCTTAGCCAGTAGTTGCAAGCATGTAAAAATCCATCAGAACATATAATTTTACATGGGCAACATTACTAACTCGTGACTTAATGTCCCTTCCAGATATGTAAAGCTTTCCAAATTGAACAGATTCCATTCTCTGGACTCCACAAGGGGGAGAGGGAGGGGCTGCTAAATATTATATGCCATCCATTAGTTTCAGAGCTTTACCTTTGGTGTGCATAATAATTGTTACTGAAAATGGATTGTAATGAAAACAAAATTATGCAGTACTGGAAACTGAAATATAAAATTAAATAATCTCTAAAAAAAAAATTATGTCAAATATAACTTAACCCTTTCATGCTGAATAGAGAACATCTTGAACCAACAATTTTCTAGAATTTTTTTGCCTCACTTATGAAATTCTTTCAAACAGTTTTGTTAAATTTACAACAATGCAATTTATGTGATGACTTATTTACAATGTATCAAATGTGTACCAGAAGGCATCTTGAGCAGATCAAAGAGGATTTTGCAAGCTGGATAGAAAGTAGCAAAGAACTGTCAAGAAGCATTTGATGGAAAATTAAGGTTGGTTACTAGCTTTACAAATGAAGTTGTGTGATCTTATTAGTTTTTATTTTGATAATTTTTCAATAAACTAATTTTTAAATCAATTCAACTTAAAATCTTTATTAAAAAGCATGGCTGCGTTTCCTATGCCTTACTGAATCTACTAAACTAAATGGAGTATTTTTCCCATGCCTGAAACATAATTTGGGAATGTAAAAGTAAAAAATGGCCTCTTCAACAAAAATGAATTCTAGGGTGGATTTTTGAACAGAGAACTATCCGATAATGCTGCTTTATTTCCAGGAAATATGTATTTGCCTTGGAATAAAGCTGCATTATCTCTGTACAAAAATCCAACCCTATTCCCCTTTCTTTTCCCATATCTTTCTTGTTCATTCTTCCGCCATCCAGGATTAATAGGGTTCTGATACTATGACTTTCCGAACCAGCACAACACCGCTCATTGGATCAACTCCCGCGAAGCAACCTAACCCCCCCCCCCTTTCCTACTTCCAGCTACGTAAAAAAAAAAAAAGAAAAGAAAAGAAAATAAAGAAACATGACTAGATGCGTCTAGGCATTTGCATGAAAGCAATGTTACACCAAGGGTTGCCAATTCTAAATCTCCAGAACAGATTAAAGAAGGGGGGGGGGAACAAAACAACTTGCTTGCTGCTCGATAATTTTTCTGAACTACCGACACAGGACATTCTTACAAGGACGTAGCACTATGCATCGATGCGTCCGTGTCACAGTACATCAGTGGTGTAGCCAGGATTTCGCGAAAGGGGGGCTAACGAGGAACGGAGGGGGCTAGAGCCTGAAAAGCTGAAAATGATTTTATCGTTACGCCCATACTGTTAATTGCCTCGTCATGAAAACACGGTTCATTGACATCGTATAAAATAGCGTCATCAAAAGTGGCTCGTGTCAGCAAATTCGCAATTGGTGGGAGGGAAAATGGGAAAGGAGAATATTCGGTAGAAAGAGGGAAGAGTCGGCAGGTGGCAAGCCCGTCTGCTCTTATTTTTTATTTCTTCTCTCCCCCGAACTTGCTCATAGGCGCTTTTTCATGAAGACCTCCAGTCCCCGAGTCTGCCCTGCCTATCGTATTCTGATGTAGCCGTCCCATCTTACCCTTTCCCGAGAATCGGCGAAATCGAACGAGCTCGGAGAAGGGGGCACCAGGAGGGCACGTGCGCTGATGAAAAGAACCATACCGCCTACCCTCGCAGCTCCCTCCCCATTGCACATCCACGGGTGAGCACCGTCTGCCGTCACAATTCCAGGAAATGCTGGAGATGGAGAAGGGGGAAAGGAAGCACGGGAGACGTTCCTCGTGGCTCTCGCACGTGAACAAGAAAAACTCCATGCTCACTGCCACGCCTCGACTTTCCGAGAAATTGGATCTTCTCTCTAGCTCTCTTTCTCCTTTCAGAGAGACGCTCGCTGTTCACTCGTGAGTGATGTGCCTGTTGAAGTGCTCACGTGCTCAGTCGCCCGACCCAGTGCATTTATGCCAACACCACCTTTCCGCTCGCTACAGTGCGCTTCTCTCGGTAATTATACCATGTCATGATGTCGGTACCTCACCACAGGAAGAGCATTTGAGCACTTCTTCAAATTTTAGAAGAGAAAGAAAAAACTTCCTCAAAAATAAGATTTTGAAGTCCGATCAGCTCGAATGCCATTTTAGAACCCTATAATTCCTGAACGGCGAGAGATAGGCAAATGTCCATTTGGCAAGAAATACAGCTTGATAAGCTGAACTCAGAGATGGCAAAAACTCAAATTTTCTTTTAAAATTGCTTTATGCCCTTTTAGCTGTCAGGTACGAATGTTACAATTGCCTGTTAAAGGCTCATCAAGGGGGAAAAGCTCCATACTCCAGGATTAGTACTGCTTTTATCCTGACGCTCGCATTTTCAAACCAATAAGTGAATTTGCTTATTAGCATTAGAAATTCTGGAATAGTAACAGGCCATCCAGTTATAAAGTTCAGAACAAAACCCTGATGTAATGGGATTGAATCAAATCACTGAGTGCATGATGAAGCTTGCTTAGATAGTTCAGGTTGGCCCATAAAGTTGTATAGTTAAAGGACTGGTGTCTTAGGGGAATCAAAGGTGTAGGCAACTTGTGAAGATATAGAAACAAGTAAAAGAAAAAATAGCCATGAAAACACCAGTGGAATTTGACCTAATTTACAATAGACATGAGATGAGAAATATAGCACCATCCCATCCTATCCTTAAAAAAGCCTTTAGCACTGGTGGGCTGTACTCTATTACTTCATTGGCTAGAAGCACATTCCTGGGAATTCAATACACCTACCTCTCCAGTTGGTGTCTTCTTGATGATAGTACTATCCAACGTTTTCATTTCCAACTTTGCCTTCTTTTGAATGCATTCTATGGTACGAACAACTGCCATACTCTGACCGTTCACATCTCTGAATGCGAGCCTCACTTGCCCTTTCACCTTGATGAAGAGATGAAAAGCCAGACTGCAGACATTGCAATTCCTCTTTGAGGCCAATTTTATTTTCCACTGTGTCTTCTTTTTCTTCTCAAGAGAACTTACGGAAACTTTGTGCGTGAGTTTGGGGTCATGGATGAATCCTTGCCCTTTTGTGGTTCCAGGTGGAAATTCACCAGCAGTCACATATTTCAGTGCCTCTATGATGGTCTATAAATAAATGGAAACAAGAACTTACAGTAACTTTGCAATTCATCCTGAATATCAAGACCTTGAACTCTAAATTACCATAGCATGGAGTGAATTGACTTCACTTTGATGTAGAATTTCTGAATCAATATTAACTGTTTTGATTTTGTATTTTCATCATAGCTGTAATCCCTATCTGTTCACAAGATAAGTAAAATTTAAAATGTTAAAGAAAGGCTTTCCAAATCATAATTTAAAAACAATTAGTGGTAACCTGGAAAAGTAGCCATGTAGGGTAAGATGAATCCAATTTTAAGAATTTGTTGTTTCATTGAGAAATAAGAGGTCAAGAACGAGAATACATGTATTTAGTTGATGTTAATTGCCTTTTAGTCTTCTTTGCAAAGTTAATATTGGTATCTTGTAATGTTGTTTTGTATATCTTCGAGATATCTCACAATTTTTCAGCTGCCTCAGAGTCAGCTCCTAGTTTTGGCAGGGTCTGGTGCTGGTCTTCCATTTGTATTTTTGCAGAATGTCTAAAAGGTCAAGGCAATGAATCAGATTTAAATGAACTAAAAATGTCATAAAACCTTTTATACTAACTTGAAATGTAAATCTATAGCATTATATTCCTTTATTGTGTCTCTGTAGCTTAAAAATGAAGCAAATTCATCTCACCCTGCTGTCAGCAAATTTTAGATCAGAGGGAAAAACAAAGAAAAAAAGAAATAAAGTATTGCTGGCTATCTATTGACAAGACTTGAAACAACTTTGAATTGATGCTGAAAATTCAAATATGAAATTTTAGATCCTTCCATAAATAGGTTTGTTTTAAGTAGAGGTGCAACGATATTTTATCGATTATCGGTATCGGCCGATATTGGGTTATTCGATATATCGGCCCAAACCGATATATGACCTGCCGATGACTGATATTGAAACGACACCTGAAGCATGCCATACACTAAATATGTAAAGCGAATGATGAATATTCTCTCATTTTTCTCATTAGTGTTTTTCACTTGAGTTAGACAACATTTCCACTTGACTCAAACACACGTTCATGGGACGTTCCTCATGCATGAGTGCCGAAGTCAAGTGAAAAAATGTCAGACTCGAGTGAAAAACACTGCAGAAGGTTGGAAATGCCTAAATGACATGTTTTCATATAAAAAAAAAGTATTAGGCTGCTGAAAATGAAAGCATTTTTCCCCTTTGGACTGGGAGTGACCGCAAGGCACTGAAGCTTCACCCCTATTTTGACAGTCAATGTCTCCCACGACAACTTTCGACCTGTTGCAAGCACGTGATGTAGGCATAATCGACTGCTATAGAAGTCTAAAATGATTTCGCGTTTGGTTTAACCGCCATAATAATCTGGGGATATGCCACCTGGGTTCGACCTTCACTGCCGCTGTTCTTCAACGTCCCACATCTAGATGGGACCCTTACGAAAAATCCACACATGTGGACTACCCTAAGTCCACCAGAGGATTTGGATGAATCCACATGTGGATTAAAAGGATCCACATGGAGTCCACACGGGGATATTCTTGTGTCCACATTAGTTCCCCTGTGGACTTGTCCACAACAGTCCACATGCGGATCCCCCGGAGGATTTAGATAGTCCCCCTGTAGTCCACCGGGGGATTTTTCGTAAGGGGAGCGCTCCGTGCTAGGGTACTCCCTTCCTAAGCACGCTGGCGCTTGCACTAGGAAATATCCACCTGACATGGCAAGGTTCGAGGCCAGGCCCCCTGCCACGGGACATAGGCTCATTACCCAGTCACCCCAAGAGAGAGATGGGAAGCGTCATTTACTTAACTCGCCCTAATGCCATTACCATAGCCTACTCCGTGCATTCTGCGAAAATATAAATTGCTTGTGTTCGCGCGGAGAACCCGGGCCAAAATGGGTCCCAAAACTTAGGTACAAAAATCACTAGACAATAGTCTGATTTCAACTCTTTCGTGCCCACTGGTTCCATTTGGAACCACCGATTATCTACAATTTTATCATTTTTATATTCATTTTAGGGCTGTGCCGACGGCCACATTTGGCCGGTAGACTGATGGCCCATTTTGAGCTCATACTCATCGACCGGTACCGAAGCTGATACAGTCCACAGATTTAGAAAGTAACATGAAATCGCACACGATTCTAATAGGCCTATTTGGATTACGATACTTATCTGTGAGTCTCTTGAAAACGAGAGACTACTTTTAGTCCTTTCCAGCCTGACTGTCCGCGTCCGTCAGTGATTAGCTTGTTACCTATTGCTGCTAAGAGCATTGAACGACACCTCTCGCCAATGCGCAGCAAAAAAGGAAGTGCAATGATTAAACGGCCTTTACCGCTATTTTCCTCATCCAGATCCAGAATCGGGCTGAAATATAACCCGATCGATATTTTTTTTTTCCGGGAAAGGACGACAGGGGAGGCTTCCAGCGAGACAGGAGGGCCGGCGCCAAGCCGTGTTCACACACTCGCAAAGTTTTTCTTTGTATTTTTGTCCTTCAGGCTTTGGCATCGGCAGCTTGCAACCCTACCGATAGCCATGGCATCAATGGTGCAACACCAGGGGCCAATCTCTGTGGTTGTCAATACGTCGGTCCAGCCCTAATTTATTTAAAATATTTATAGTCATCATTTATACTTGAATATTTATAATATAATGTATTACATAAATATCTTTGTAAATAATATACGTCTATAATATAATAAATAAGATTAATCACGTAGAAATTTCCTGAAAAGCAGTTATGTTTCCATTTCATTTGCATGGCAAATTATCTGATGATGTGTTAACAATCTGTCAGTTATGTCCCTCTGGGTGTCCATGGGAGGTTAGAAGGAGGGAACTTTGACATACTTGACTTTCTTAACTGAACTCGAACAAAACATTCCTTCTCACTATTGGAGAAATGGCAAAAGCATGAGGTGCACTACTGGTGCACCTGAAGCTTTCACCATCAGACTTGGTCCCAAATAAAACTTATCAGTGGAGGGGTTAAAGCCTGAATGTGTGAATATAAACTTAGATATAGACATCGGCATTGGTTCTTTTCCAATACCGAATTATCAGTATATCGGATATCGGCCAAAATTCAATATCACTGCATCTCTAGTTTAGGCACACATGGTTGATGATGTATTAGTTAATTATAATTTTAAATTAAGAAACTATTTAATATGACATGAAATATGTTAATTACAACTCAAAATACTCTAGAAATAATTTTTTTAGATTCACAAAAGAAACAATGAAAACAGCAGTTTTTGTGGTTACTTGAATATTGGATTTATCTCACCTGCCTGGGGTCAACTCATCCTATTCGATGGTACTGTACTTAAGTACCTTTTTCTGCAATCATAATAATTTCATAACTATTTCAGTTCAAGTAATTAGGAAGAATGTAATTAATATTTCCAAAGTTGTTAAGATAACCCAGTTACTTTGCTGACCACTTCATCACCTATTGCAATCTTGTAAAATCATTGTTGCCATGAGTCATGATAGAAAGTGAATGATGTTCACTTCCCCAGCACAAAATCCTGATTTTCATACTTGCATCATAGTGGTTGGAGTGAAGAAAAAGAACTTGGCACAGTACATGAGAAACATTCCTGCTATTGCATTAATCTTTGTTAGTTTTATTTAAAAAGTAAAATCAGTATGGTGCTTTTTTAATACCTATTTGAAATACAACTTTTGTCTAACTTAAAAAATATTTAACTATGTAATAGAATGAACTTTTATGATTTATATTTGAAAAATACTAAAACTTTTTAAATGAAACAATTAAGCAACACAAAGTCTTTCACTTCCAAGTATGGCTGAAGAGATATACCCATGGATGAGATTAAGCAATTAGGAAATGGCAAACTGACTGTTTTCCCACAACCATTCTGTCCCTGGATGAGAGTGATAGGAGTCTCAAAGTCAAGCTTCTGCTCGTCGTCTGGTCCAAAGTTCCGAACACCTCGAAGTGTAAGGCACTTGAGCTTGGACATTTTCTCAACAGACGTGGGTTTCCTATCAATCACAAAAAGTCAGCATGAGTCCACAATTGGTTACCACAGGTGTGGGGTAAAATGAACCTTAGTACTATTAGTCCATATGTGATAGGATATGCAAGAAACACATGAATCACTAAATGACAGCCCCTTGCAATTCACTAGTGACATGAGAGAGAAACAGGATTTGCTAGCACAGTTCCATGTCTACACTTTCTTCCCATGTTAAGGGACATAATGTATAAAAAAACAACAAAAGACCATAAGACACCTTTCTCATATTATTCCCCTTCATGGAGGGGAAGATCTAACTGTATTAGAGAACATAATCCTCTAACAAATTAGAGTGTGGATAAGGATGCTAATCAATCATCCAGCATTCATTATTTGAGTGTAATAACCAATGCTTTCCCAGGTTTGGCATAGAGCAATTAAGTTTACCATATGATACAATAGTCTAACAAAGGGTAGAGCTCAAACATAGCATACCATACCTCACTAGCCTAGCCCTGATCTACACTGACACAGACCATATATATTTTGATATGATAGGAGTTACAGGGTGCAGAAGCTCACAGCTCAATACCCCTTTGCTAAGGAATCCCAGCTATCCCTTCTCCCTTGCAGCCTCATTATGACTCTAGCAACCTCTTCCCTTATTAGAATTCAATTTGGTTGAGTGGTCCCTCTGAAGAAACATTATTTGAGTTCAGCCTTCACCTCTGGAATTCCTTAACGTCCCACATTTAGAAATGAGGGTGCAACAGGCTCAGTGTTCTCCATTCCGAAACATCCCAAACTTGGTTTGGTTTCAACTTGGGTCCCCTTCCACGGGGGCCAAACTCACTACCAATAGAGCCACTAAACTCTTTTTCGGACTTGTCTCTCCTTGCGACATTGACCTCCTTGTACATTGACCTAACATTAGACCTAAAGGCTTTTCAATCAAGTTCATAATCATTCAAGCAGATTCCGACACATGCCTGGGAATCGCTAAAAGGTGATAGGCCTAAGTCAAAGGGTCTCGGATTGCATCTGCTTATGAGTGGCGAAGTCTTAATAAAACTCTAAGTAGCCTATCGTGACGTCTCAAACCAGGATAATCAGACTAAGTCTAACGTTAGCCACGAGGCCTGGACTCGACGAGGAACAACACTTCACATATAAGAACGTGCTCGCAGTCCCTCCCGCTCCCATCCAAACCGAGGTAGAATCTTTGCGGGCTGCGGGCCGTCCCAATCGGGCCGATCGGACCAGATCCGCCTTCTACGGCCGATTTTCTAGAACCCCTTCGAGCCGGAAGTTTGTAAACCTTGTTCTTTATTTTTTTTTTTATAGCCTCATGGCTAGGACCAGAGGCGGATGCAGAAATTTTTCCAAAGGGGGCGGTTCTCTACTTCCTACCACCCCCCCCCCCCCCCCCCCCCGCTTCCACCACTCCCAGCCCTATCGCCTTTTTCATATCTCGTCTGGGGTAAAAACTTGAATACATATTTCACCAGCCCCAATAAAAATTAATGTAGAAGCTATTTAAAAAAAAGGGAAAAATAGAATAGTAACCTGGCCATAGGGTCCGGATCCGCCCCTGCCTGGGACCCTAAACAGTCAACCATGTACTGAAATTCGGCTTAAGCACGTTGTCTGCAAAAAAAAAAAATAGAATTTTTAATGTGCAAAGTGAACCCAATTTGCATTTAATGGATTACAATATTTTGCTCCTTCCTATTGTAATTATCTGTGCAGCATCAACGATACGAATAATTTTCTTCGTCAATTATTTTGGAACCCTGGATGATTTCTTGCATGAAAAAAAAATTCCATCATGAGCGACGATAATTTGAAAGCCATTAGGATACAATGCAATTTCGATTGTAATCGACGAGGGACTGAAATTCGCAGAACGAACGGAGGCGGCTGCTGGATATACATAAATATGGTATGGGCATATATATGATAAGATATAAATTCTATTAAGTTTACCATTTTCTTCGATTTTGGTCGAGAAATGAGATTTGATGGCGCTGCAGAGGATTCGGAGTCGGGGCGATAAAGTTATGCAGGAGTTACGACGCGGGGTTGGGCAGTAATTGATTTACAATAATTTGAAATTTGATTTTTTAAACAATTGTATATTTTTTATTTTGCGTTTCAAACACCGTACCAATGATATATTTAACAATGGTTTTTATAATGCTACAAGGTAAGCATTTCATCTCTGCATCTGCTGTTCTATTCAAAATGCTTAACGTAATTTCCACTTCAAATTACATTTGGAAATGCAAATTAGCAATTTGTATTTCCATTCAATGTAAATTCTTTAAGAAATTTGAATTTTCATCAACTCATGCAAATACGAAATTCTTGTCTTGGAATACTTAAAAATCCAAATACTAAATGTTTGCCGAATAGTGCTCGAAACGTTAAAGAAGGATTTATCAAATAATTATAATTATAATTATAATGATAATTCAGTTACTGCCCAACTCTAGCTACGAGAAAGAGAATACGGCATTTAAACGCGTCGGGATATTTTAAATATTAAAAAGGGGCATCCGATAACGTGGAGTAGGATGGAAATTGCCATGGCTGGGAAACGCTTTTTCAAACTCGGTGGGAGCGGCAGAACGAGGGAAACCCAATCCGAGTTGCGTGTGCCCCGGCTCCGCATGGCATTTATAACATTTTAATGCGGTTGGTAGGGCGTGTGTGGAACTCATTAGGTGAATATGTAGGGGGGGGGGGGGAAGGGGGGGGGGGGGGGGGGGGGGGTGGTGAACCGGGCAAGACCGAAATTCCGGATCTCAATGTGCGCAGAAATGGTCCTTAGAGCTCTGGCTCAAATCTTGAAGCAGATTTGCTCCAGGTTTCATGAAACGGGCTTAAGTAGAAACGTACTTACGAGGTTATTCTATGCATATCTGTGTGGCAGAAAACCCAGAGGTACAACCCTGGTTCTTAGGGATAAAAAAAAAGAAGAGAAAGAATGAAATGGAAGGTGTTATTCACAGAGCGATCTTACATCCCTGAAGAATCCATCATTGTTGTCCAAAAAAATGTGAAAATGCATCCAACGGGAGCAGGAAGGAAGGGGAATGTGTGTCTGGAGGGGGGGGGGACACGATGTATTATCGATGAACGGCAGGAAAAAAAAACGTAAATAGGCAGTGGCTGCATGGAAAAGTTAATCCCTCAAGCCATAAGTGTCAAACTCGATTAGGTAGGGAGCCGGATGGAAGCCTTCAGGGGTGATTAGGGGCCACAATAAAAGTCGAACACCAAATCTTTCATGCAAACAGGCAGGATCTTTCATGCAGTACTTTTCTGTAACCAATTGTTGAAAAGGACTTCGCTGGCCCCCTGTTTGACACCCCTGCCATAAGCGTAGCGTGGGTGAAAAAAGAGTAGGAGAAGGGGGGGGGGCACGTGTCCCTTGACGCTACGCCGCTGCCTCAAACTGAAGACATTGCGAAGGCGGAACTTAGGGGAATCGATTAATAGCCGACCGCCAGCTGAGAAGAACTGCAAGGTCGAAAAACTACCACCAGACCAATGCGATTCCGTCGCCAGTGTGGGCATCTTCGATTCTGACCTTCCCACTCGCACAAGTTGGTCGTTCCCCGTTGACAGCGCCAACGGGGAAGGTCAGAGTCGAAGATGCCTGGAAGGCAGACCGTCCCATGCATGCGTGCACAGGCCGATCTGTGCGGCGAAGGAATCGCTCGGAGGATGCTCAATGATGGATGCGGTCCTGAACGGGATCGCCATCGATTTCTCTCAAGCTGGAGGACTTGACTGGCGAGAGGGATGCTGCAGTGATGATGCGATGAGCCGAGACGCGATTCGAGCCATCACCGAACATTTTCTTCTTCACGTACCTCTTTGAAACCAGCCGGTGAATCCGAATGACCTCTTGGGGTCTACATGTGAGCTTCAGCCATCCTATCAGAATGAATCGATTCAATCGTTACCTTGCATGTAAGCCGACGGACTCAGTTTGTGGGATCCACCCATTCAAGTCAACGTCCTACATTTTCCATGAGATTTCTCCCCACTGACTTCTGTAGAGATGAATGATGTCAGTGCGGATGTGAGCAAATATCAAGGCCCGAATGCTGAAACCTCCTTTAGTTAACGATTCTTTAAGAATACATGAACTTCTAGGCGGAGGAGGGGGAAAGAGCTATTTAGCTTAAAGGCCCTTACATCTCCTCTACAAGAGGTTTCAGCATTCGGACGTTAGCTTTTACATACTCAAAAACTAAAAAGGTGTTCACAGAATCGTAAATATCATGGAACATTAATCAATTAAGAATCTGGTAGCGCGATCATGCAAATATTCCCATACCATATCTGAGGCACGTGGAGCCATGACGTCACCCTATGGCACGTGGAGCCGCCACGAGCTGAGGCCCACGTGGTCGCCTCCCGCTCGTGTGAGCCTCGCTTCGAAGTCGGATCGTTCCGTTCGCTTCCTGCAATCGGGGAGACCTGCGCGGCGAAGTTTCCCGATGGCTTTCCTTGATAAAAAAGGGTATCGAGCAAGGCTTTTCTATCGGATTTTCCTGGTCGATCTGTTGGAGAGAGGTTTGGCTGGATTAGTTCGATTAGCTTTTCATTAACGTTGATAGGATCCAGGTAAAATAATGAAATTTGCTCACATAATTTGATTAGGATGCAGACTACCAAAGTCCATGCGCATTCATAATTTGGAAGGAGATGTGTCTCCTTCGCGATGCTTATCGCAATGCATCCTCCTCATAAAGTCCTCGCTATTGTCCACTTACCTCGCTCCACTTTCGTATCGACCCATGATAGCCCTCTCTCTCTCTCTATCAATTCTCATGATCTATGTACATTATCCCTCGATCATCCATCTCGTGCTCTCGTGGAAGTAAAGACGCGTAATTCGAGTAGCGCTTAGAGTGATGAGATGGGCAGAAATTTCCTGTTCCACCTTCGAAATTGCCGTTCGTTCCGATCTTCCTCCGGCCGCGGCCCCGTCCAGGCGTGAAAGCGGGTCGGCCCGCTCAACTCCTGAATGAGAGCCAATGAGACTGTTCGTGCGGTCGCGCGGGGGCTCTGGCTTCACGGGTGCTGGTTGGGTGGTGTGCTTAGGACACGTGGCTTTCACACGTGATGTTTGATGTTGCGCGAAAGGTCTAACGTTAGGGCTAGGAGTGCATGCCTAGGCTACTGTCAGGTTTATTCCCCGCTGCTACATGGTACGTGATATTTCCTTGGATCCTCCTGTCGTGAGCCCATCCCGCATTCCGCCGTAGCCGAAACGTAGTAACGTTAGGCCATAAAACGTTAAGCGAACCTTGAGTCGATACCTAAGTGTTCAGGTCTGTGATAGGCTTATCATAAGGCCCATGCCTATTTAACTGCTAAGTTTAAGCCTGTTATATCGCAACTTTCAAGTAAGGGTAGGTTCAGTGTCACTTCTTACATGGGAGTTATACCACAACCTCCTTGAATGCAACATAGAATTAGCATGCCACAGGTGGTATGAATAAAATGGTGAGTTGCAGTAGGGCATGCAGTATTTCAAGTTGACTTTCCCTCACTTGTCCCTCTTCCCTGGTGCTGTTCTCAACAGTACTCAAGAGATACCTAGTATCATCATAATCTTTGCTAATAAGGGAGTGATGATTGCATGGTGTAATGTTCCTTCCTGAACAAGTGAACTACTTCCCAACTTGATGACAGGGCCCATTGAGCATGTGTAAATGAAGGAAAAAGTCCATTGTCAAACACTGTTGGATCCATTTAGCTATTGTGGTACTGGTGTGATACACTTATTTGCAATGATTTATGATTGACTTCATTTGGATTGAGGTCATACCATAGGCTGGCTGTATTATATTTTGCACAACATAGGCATTACTTTTGGGATATTCCTTGATATACCCACAGGATTTGAATGAAGATATGGGATAGAGATAGGCCTACATACATAGAAATAGGTCTAAGACTGTAGGCTTATTTGCTATCTTTCCAAAATTCAATATCAACCATTGCAAATGATGGCTGATGTGGTTTAACATCACCATGATCCTTGGCAACCATGTAACTGCTTTGCAGCAGGAACATACAAACTGTCTGTGGTCTGGAACATCAGTTAACAGCATGATAGCAGTACCTCAGAAGGTCAGTGTATTCTAATAGGACATGGCAGATGGGTGTCAATTATTGACCAAGATATTGATGGACAAAGTTCTACTGTTGGGCTACCTTGCATTTCCAAATATGACTAAGTAAAACTTGTGAATCCTACAATTTTGGTATTATTGGGTAGTGTAAAGAATAAGTTTTAAGTTTGCTTGTTTGCCAAATACCTGGTCCTGATTGTATTTCTCCCAGGCTTTTGAACAAAACGTCCAAACTCTTGGTTAACTTATGGCCAAAGACGATGCTTTTGTGCTATGTTTGACCTAATGGTGAGTTAGTAGAGTTATTTAATGAGGAGGTGGAAAATAAAAAGGAAAGGAGTCAGGGTCAAGCACCCAATTATGGCACCCTCCTCCTATGGTCATTTTGTTAACTGCCATTCCCTGTTTCTAAAACAAGATAGATTCAAAGTGTGCATTCTGGTTCACATGTTAGTTTATTTAATTTCTAACCCTTTCAAATTCACATCTTGAAGTAGTTCCTCATTGGGTAAAAAACTAAAAATCTGATTGCTACCACAATATTCCCATTTTTCATTGCAGAAAATTAGGAATATAATTACCTGTGTCCTCAATGTAATGCTGGCCAATCTGATTGATTCATTGTAGCCTTCATCCCATACTCCATCCATTTGGTCCATATATTTTGATTTTCTAATACTTGTAGGAGAAACAAATATGATGTATATAACCTTTACATGGGTTATTTTAAGGTGGCCATGGGAGGTGATATTGCCAAAGTTTATATACAATTTTTTTCTTTTCAACTTTGACCAGTTGATGCTATTATCAATAATTTAAGATGCTTTAAAAGCTAAAACTACTCTTGGGTTATTTTAAGGTGGCCATGGGAGGTGATATTGCCAAAGTTTATATACAATTTTTTTCTTTTCAACTTTGACCAGTTGATGCTATTATCAATAATTTAAGATGCTTTAAAAGCTAAAACTACTCATAAGATGCTAAGGATTGAGATAAAAATTGAATTATCAAATAGGGAATTCCCTTTAAGTGTCCATTGGTGGAGCCTTGACCCTATTCATGTAAGAGTGAGTTTCCTCATGAAGACTGAGGATGCAGAAGATATTGACTATGAAACAAGTGCCATGTTTGTCAGCATCAATCCATAGGAAGCAATGAAAGTGTGGAAACTTGGGATGCCATTCTGACAGAAAAGCACTCACAGAATTTATATTCCTGGCTGTGAATACTGACATGTGACAACTAAAACAGTTAGATGTACCAGTCCATTTTGCTGGCAGCTTAAAAACTGTTGTAAATTCATCTGAAAATTGCAATATCAAGTGACCTTTGAAATTCTGTGATGTTACTTCATCATAGTCATAATTGCATTCCGCTGTCTTTTTATGCATTACTTGACTAATGCATATATGAATCTCTTCCAGGTCACAAGTGGCTGGGTCAGATTAATTTTTTGAGTCCTATAGACCAGTTATTGTGATAAAGACTGACTGTTTCCCATAGCTCAAGGCTTGACTTGTGAACTATGGAATTGACTGCATATGACGTTTTTGTCCAAAGCCAAATGAAATGAAACTTTGATGTTTTCATTGAATTGAAAACCCTCCATCAATCCTCATGATTTTTCCCATGATGAAAGGGGATGTACAAGGGCAAGAGAGTTCTCTGGCAAGGAATTCTATCCCATATCGATCCATGTACCTATCATGTCAGACAGACAGAGAAGATGCCAAAGGTAGCAGTTCAGGTAAGTCAAGACAATTCACAATTTATTCTATAACCATTATTATACATATTCTCATTCCTTTTCTCATTGCAATTTGCATAGATAAATCAAAGGACATTCCACATTCTGGAAGCACTTGATCCGGTTAGATTCTAAAATAAGAAGTCATAGAAAAGTTTAAATAACATTTGTAATATGTTAAAATGTTTACACGTAGATACAAGGTCCATAATGAGTCTCCTACCGTATCCTAAGTGACGTAAGTAGTTACTTATTTTTTGCATTCAAGCAGGTTAAGTGATATCTGCCACTTATGAAATATGAACCATTGAGATAATGCAATATTATCTTATTACTGCCAATGTTGGCTTGGTTGGATTTCTTACTAAGTAGTTACTGGTAAGGTCTTGCCAATTATTTTATGACAGAATATAACAACTTTACGAAATTGAATGTTTATTTTAACTTTGAAGTATCTTGCTGAACTTAGTTCATGTGTACCACCAGAATGGTTGAACAAGAAGCTGCAAAACTGGATGCTATCTTCAGTTACAAGTTTCAACATGAACCTCAGATTTTAATACTCAAGAATATCCTGGCGATTCCTAAATTCAGATGCTGAAATGCCAATCTATACATTGCATACAATCATCCTCTTTATTGCAGTACTTAATATCTTGTTAAGCTTCAACTAGTGTAAGTATTGTTACTTAGACTGAATTGTTAGCTTCTGGTATTTAAGCACAGGATACTCACAGAAATCAAATGAGAATGATGAGAGAATGTGTTTGAGTGAATGAGGTAGAACGATAAATGTGTATATTTGTTTTGTGATTTAATTTTTCCAGGTCAGTCTGAAATAGGACTTTGAAGTATTGCTCCAAACACCATGTTCATGTAGATTGTTTGCTATGGACAATAAAAATTGAAACGATTGCTTCATATGTAGATTTGTGTCCATTTGTGTTACTTTATGAACACCCTGTATAAGCACTTGGAAGGCTTGCTGCATAAATGTGAATTAGAATGGTTTGCAGTTTCAGGCCAAAAACATCATGGTTTTTCTTGTCTGCTGGCTATAGGTAGTTAAAATAAAAATAAAAATAAGTTTTTTCTATTTTAATGTGCTTTATTTCTCTGGGTAGGGGTTGTTCCATGTCCACCAGAGCGAGTACTAAGCAGGGATGACAAGAAATCACATGAGATGCCATGGCTACAAGATGAGACAAGTTTAGGAATGCTGAATGTAAGTTCAACCAAAAATAAAAGTGTTCTTTCTCTATGGAGGTGGGCTATTAAAAAAAATTGGTGTTTGAATGAAATGACATTGTTTTTCACATCTTCATGGTATGATGATTTTTTTAGCACCTCAGAATGCATTTTTTTGAGTATGGGATATAGTCAAAATGAACACCTTGTGTCCCATGACTCAAATATCTTCTTCTTCTTCTTCTTAAGTATTCTGCCTATTGGCAGGTCCTAGGCATCCATCTTCTCCATTCCAATCTGTTCTCCATCTTTCTCTTCATTTTCACAAACGACCCTTCCTTCAGTTCCTCCAGCATGCCAATTC